GAGTTTCCTATATTTCTACTTTTCTACGGTTCTACTTCTCTATTAGGCATCTAGATGTCCATTCCGTAGAGCAGAAAGACCCAATACTATGGGTTTGATTCGTAGGTATAGATACAAAGGCATTACAGAATGGCATGATAGTACGATCTCAGTCTAGATGCACAATCTAAATGCACTATTTTAGTAGATCCGCCTCTTCTTTCGTGCTTGGACCCCGTTTGGCGTCGAGGGCGTTGGCAGTCTCGACCTAGAACCCCCCTCTCTGCAGATTTTTTTGTATCAAAGCGCTTATAACACAGAAGAGACAGAATGAATAAATGTACTAGAATAATAGAGCAATAGAATAATTGCAGAGTAGAAAGGGGGAATAGGTTCTTTTATAAGCGCTCTATATATAACCTAACCCCCCTCCTCGGGGGAAGATCAAACACGCGCAAACACAAAATAGGAACTTCCCGCTTTCTTCTTCATAAAATATTCTCTTCTCTTCAACCTTCAACCCCATCTCCACATTCACGTTTACGTTTACGTTGTTGATGTTTTTGAGATTCAAACTGGTCTGCCTATCATACCGAGAAAATTTTCTCCCTTGATTGAAATTTCCCTTCCGATATCTCTCCATTCATCTTGACTTCATCCACTCTTTGGCTTTCATCAAGTCAAATCGCTAAGAGTTCAGTGCTCTTTCGCTCAGCCTCGTTTATCTTGTGAGGCGTCTAGGAGCCCATTCTCTTCTCTCTACACCGTGCGCGTACACAACACCTCGGATAGGTACCACCGTCCACACCCGTCTGGCATCTCTGCCAGAACTGTTTTTTCTTCTTTCTTTCCCGTGGCCGTCGGGCCCTAATTTAGATCTGTTTGGTCTTGAAATCTTCTGTTTGGTAGGCATCTCTCTATTTCTTTCCCCACCCGCTGCTGCTCCCAACAACCCGACCGCCCAAAGGGGGAAGAAAAATCAACGGAAAAAATTCGAGCGCGTTTCTTCAATTTCGCCTCAACTTGGGACTTGCAATGCAAACTGGACTTGATCTCAATCTGGGACGCTTCATTAACTTGTTTTTCCGACAGTAACAGGACATAGTTGCCGCGTCATCAAATCTCTGTTATTCTCACCCGATCGCCCCGGAAGTCTCTCTTCCACCTTTCGTTTTTCTTTTCCTTCGTCCATTTTTTTTCTTTCTTTCGTGTTTTCGTTAGACATTATTCGCCATGGCCGATCAGGAAGTGGATCTGGACTCGATCATCGACCGGCTCTTGGAGGTGAGGGGTAGCCGCCCTGGAAAGCAGGTTCAGCTGCTCGAGTCAGAGATCCGTTTCCTCTGCACCAAGGCTCGTGAGATCTTCATCTCTCAGCCCATTCTTCTCGAACTGGAAGCGCCTATCAAGGTAAGGATTTTTTTTTGTGCTTGAACGGTTTTTTTCGAGTCGGAATAGGCCCCCGTCTAACATGCGTGTCTTGCTAGATTTGCGGTGATATCCACGGCCAATACTATGACCTCCTGCGTCTCTTCGAATATGGCGGTTTCCCCCCGGAGGCTAACTACCTCTTCCTCGGTGACTACGTCGACCGTGGCAAGCAGTCTCTCGAGACCATCTGCCTCCTCCTTGCGTATAAGATCAAGTACCCCGAGAACTTCTTCATTCTGCGTGGAAACCACGAGTGTGCCTCGATCAACCGTATCTACGGTTTCTACGATGAGTGCAAGCGCCGATACAACATCAAGCTCTGGAAGACTTTCACCGACTGCTTCAACTGTCTCCCCATTGCCGCCATCATTGATGAGAAGATCTTCACCATGCACGGTGGCCTGAGCCCCGATCTCAACTCGATGGAGCAAATCCGCCGTGTCATGCGCCCCACGGATGTAAGTTTCTCCCCTTCCTTGATTTCACCCCTCACTGGTAAATGTGGTTCTATTGGCGAAAACAAAAGTGGCAGCGTGGCGCTGGGTTCGTTCGGCTAAAGGCCAAGATTGCTGACTGCAATAGATCCCTGACTGCGGTCTCCTGTGCGATCTCCTGTGGTCCGACCCCGATAAGGATATCACCGGCTGGAGCGAAAACGACAGAGGTGTTTCATTCACATTCGGCCCCGATGTGGTTTCGCGCTTCCTTCAAAAACACGATATGGATCTGATCTGCCGTGCACACCAAGTTGTTGAGGATGGATACGAATTCTTCTCCAAGCGCCAGTTGGTTACACTATTCAGTGCGCCCAACTACTGTGGTGAATTCGATAATGCCGGTGCAATGATGAGCGTAGACGAGAGTCTGCTCTGCTCCTTCCAGGTGAGTTATGGAATTTTCATTCACCGAGACCTTTTTTTTCAGTTCCTAACCTATTTTTTTTCTTCTTCCGATAGATCCTGAAACCAGCCGAGAAAAAGCAAAAGTACGTTTACGGTGGCATGAGCGCCGGCGGTCCCGTCACTCCTCCGCGAAAGCAAAAGAAGAAATAAAAGAATCAATACGAGCTTCCCCATGTGCAGCAGGTTCGGGCGGAGATAAGCCTTTCACAAAATCTCTTTAACAGCGCCCTCATGACACCCTCCCTACAACCCCCGCGAGTCCCTCCCCGGATCCACGAAAACGATGAACGACCGAGGAACCCCTCATCCGCACCCAGGGCAGTCCGATATTCCCCTTCAACTCCACCGATAATATCACAGTCACATTCTTCAACTCCTCCCAGACCCCCGGGCTCTCTCCCCCAGTGCGACATGCGATAAAAAAACAACAGTCACATCATTTCCTGGCCCGTGCGACCCACTGTACTTCCGGAGCGGAGTTCAAATGCTTATTTCTTCGTTGGTTCTCGACTTCTCTTTCTGTTTCTAACCATCTGGACTGGAAAGTTTTTCTTTTTTTCCTTTCGGCATCCTGGGAACGGGGAAGGGAAACTGGTTATCTTTTTCTTTTTTGTTCTTTTTTCTTACTTCTTATTGTCCTGTTCCTTGACCGCATGTGTTGTTTTCTTATCGAATCATATTCGTCTTTCGAATTCTCTAGTCCGACACGTACGAGGTGGTAGTAGGTACCTCTCTCTGCTGGTGCATCGTATACTGGATTGGGAATGGGAGACTGTTACTCGCGGTGTTTCTGTGGATCTAGCTCGGCCTTGGAATGGGAGGTTTTTTTTTTTTTCGGAGGTCTAGATTGTTCGTTACATGGCCTGTGAGAATCACATTTGAGTTTATGTTTATGTAGGCCAAGATATCTCGTATTTTCTTTTTGGGCAGTCGATTCCGTCTCTGTATTGATACATACTCGAAATAGATTCTTACCTGAATTGAGGAATTGGAATATCTCTCAATTCAAGGCATAGGGATAGTAATGAAAATACCTATACCAGGTATTCTACGTAGCAACAACAATCAATATCAGTCAAATTCTATATGAATAGTTATCTTAACAGGGCTCTGGTTGCCAATTCATACAGCGTGGATACACACTACCCAAAATGGTTATCAATAGCTATCAGAAAATAATAAATAGTCAAAAAGCGTCGGTTGTTGAGATACAAGTGTAGCATATATCGCATTCACTATGGGTTTTCGGCTGCGCAGTGCAATGATACGTTATAGGGATATATGGAACTGGATACTGGTTATTAACGACACAGCCCGATTTCGATAAAACAAAACACCTGCTATCGGGCCTCCAGCTATAACGCTCTGCTAGTTTTTGTATTTGGTGCTCGGCCAACAGAAACCAATTGACTTGTAATCTTAGGGGAATAATTGAAAAGTGAGAATGTTAAGCTCTCAAATCTACACATCTCCTTTCAAGTAGACAGCGCCTCCTTTCAACCTCGATATTGATTTTCTAGAGGGAATCATTGTGGCCTTAGGCATCACTCGGCCCCTCTCATGTCCCGGCTTCGTGTAGTCCGCTTCCTCTTGTTGGCTCCTGGGCCACTCTCTGCATTTATAGACACATACTGAATGGCCAGGTAGTGCGACGCTCCGCTTTCTCCATGGCTTCAATCGGGGTAATGGATCAATATCCGCCATCAGTGGTTAAGTCCTGTAGCAGATGCCGGTCCAGAAAAGTGAAGGTGGTTTCCCCAAATTCGATTCAATTGCATTGTGCTGAATGTGTAGATAGTGTGATCTGAAAGTGCCCCAATGTTCGGCATGCGAAAGACAGGGGGAGGTCTGCAACATTACCGAATACGTTGCCTATCCCTATGCACTTGTGGAGAGTCTTCATTCAAAAGTAAAAGAACTTGAGGAAGATCTTGCAGCCTGTACGAATGGCTCGGCTCATGGACCATCCCTCAATGGCCCTACGCTTGGACCGTACTCCAATCGGCAGCCGACTGCAGGAGAATCGGTTCCAGCAGAGGTGAGCAAAGAAGCCGAGGAAGTAGGCGTTCTGGCCATTGGATTTGCTGATCGCTATTCTCACTCCAAATACGGTTGGTAAAATGCTCAAGTCATCTCAAGGTACGCCTCGATCTATGCAGCTAACTGGGATTCCTAGTGGGAGCCGCTGCTGGTTCAACCTTCGCACGAATATTTTTCAAACAAGTGGGCATGACCAATTCTTCGGGCAACCAAGAAAATCCAGAGAATGAAAACCTACCGACATGTACGGCCTCAATCCCATCAAAAGGAATCTCTGGGTATTTACTTTCTACTTATATCGCACGGGTTCATCTGTGGTGGCCTTTCTTAGATCTACGGCGGACTCGATCTTGTTTCCGAAGGCTCTATCAAGAACCACGAGCATGCACAGATTTAGAGAGGTTTAGTTTCTTTATAATCCTTGCGTTGGCCTCGGACGAAGCCCGTGTTGATGATGCTTATACCTCAATGCTGGATTATAATACTCCGCAGGATTATTTCCAAACTGCACTTCATTTCTTCAACCGATTCCGGGAGCATCCCCGCGACCTCTCAGGACTTCAAGCTATATTACTGATGACAATTTGGATGCTAAGTTCGCCGTCTTGCAACCATAGCAATGATCTTTGGCATCTCACAAGATATGCTATGTCCATTGCCCTCGAGCTGGGTCTTCATCGACATAATCCATCCTGGCGCTTTGGCCCCGAAGAAATCGAGATTAGATCTCGTACATGGTGGACTGTATATAGTCTGGAGAGGTTCGTATCCAACCATTGCCCCTGAATAACAAAAGGACAATCGCATCTAATACTGCTAGCAGATCCATAGCCCTGAACACGGGGAGAGTCTTATCAGTGCGCGACCAGGCAATCGATACCGCAATCCCTTCGTTTACTAGCCTTGACCAGCTTACCGAGCAAGAGGCGAAGACAGCCACTTTGTTCCATGCCAAATCTGTTTGGCTGTTTGTCCATATGATTGAACTTCGAAGAATCGCCGGACGCATTTTGGAGTCAATCTATATCGCTCGAGATCGGGAAGGGCGATGTTCATCACTCACATTCCAAGAACTCTGCTCTATCTCGGACGACTTGCATCGGCAGTTGGACAACTGGAAAAACCACCTTGATGCTGCAGAAATTGGCTCATCACGAGAATATAAATCGATGAGAATTGAATACTGCATAATGTTGATGCATTTAAATCGTCCTTCACCAGCTTTTATGGTTCCCTCACAAAATATGGTTGCCATCTGCTCTCACGCATCATCCGGCGCTCTGAAACAATGGGCTGCGATATCCAATGAGTCTGGGATAGATGCTATCTGTCGGTGCTATCGCCAATTCCACGACATTCTCATGGCAGGCCTTGTTCGTCTATACAGTGACTGGTAAGCTAATAGAGGCTCTCTCTTACTTAATCTCAATCTTTAGAACAAGGTGCTAAATGACCAGGCATATGCAAAAGGTTGCACCAACACCCAGACCAACTCTCCGACCTGAAGATGCTGAAATCTGCCATGACTTACTTCGCAAGGGAATTTCAAATCTTCACGACCCTTCTCTCTCGAAATTTGAAAGGATATTCCACTCCCTCAAAGAGAAAGTATACGCTTACGCGTCTGGGCTTGACGAAGCAAGCCAGAGCATTCCATATGCTCAGGTGCCTGACCTTCCAATATATACCAGTGCGCCTGATATAACCGGGGCTCGGGAAGATAGCCATCGTGTCCCTAATACCGAAAATGGCATGGCTTCGATGGGATCAGAGGGCCTCGAAAGTTATTTGAACCAAATGACGACCATTTTTGACAACGAGGTGTTTGATATCGATGATACACTGACGGCGTGGTACGGGTCCGTTCTCAACGACGTTGGAGATACCGATAATATGCGAATAGGGTGACAAGGTACATGTGTGTATGCTATGTATTTCAAATATTGTATTTTTCCGTCCCAATCGTACCTAGATTACTATATATTTAATATGCGTATCTGAACCTATTGTTCTCCCGATCAGTTGAATCATCCAGATCCGCCTCAATCCCCTCCATACCTGGCCTTTCGCTAACCTGCCCATGAACACGATCACGGTGCTTGTTAGAAATTAAACAAGACACGAAATACAAGATCCCAGTTACAGTCATAATCGCAAAGCAGCATAGCATTGCCCCAATTCCCAGTGGATAATGCGGTGCTTGGTCATTGCGGAAGAACTGTGGACCAATAATGTTTCCAACAGCTAGCATCCTACATCAGCAAGGATTTCGAAAAGTAAATATCAAGGAGAGAGACTCACCATAGAATACAGCCACGGAGATAGAAACGAAGCTCTTCTTCGTTGTTCCGCTAGTATTCGATGTTTGCAGACTCAATGCGAGCACCCAGGGCACGTTGTAGAATCCCATAATGTAAATTCCAGCCAGTGAGGCATTACGCTGTGTGGTCGGGTCCATAAGATGAACCACTATAGCTCCTGCCATAGCAATGAGGGAGGATATAACCCAAAGCAAGCATCGGATGTTGGGGACGAAGAATGCGATAGTCGTAAAAACTGCCTGCGCAACCATTGCAACTGCTGCTTGTGGAGTGGCGAGGAGGGTTGTCTTGGCCTGTGAAAATCCATATCCAGATATGATAAGCGGATTGAAATTAGTGATTCCAGCATTCGTGATTGACTGGGCTATGGCGAATGTCATGAGTATGTAGTATCTGGGATCCGTGAGAGCGTCCAGGATCTGACTGAGCTTCATGTCCTAAAAGAACAAATACAATTACTCTCAGCTCCCTTTAATGCTTTAGAAAACTCCATACCTTGTGAGAGCCTAGACCAGTCTGGTTTTCCGCAACACGTAAAAGTGCAATCTTTTTCTCTTCCGCTGATAGAAACCAGGCGGTTGCAGGGCCATCAGGTAAGGCAAAGATAACCAAGCTGCCAACGAGAATAGTCACAGCCCCGTAGATAATAAAGATATACTGTATCCTCATTAGAACGTACACCATAGTGCGAAGAAGTGAATTGACTTACCTTCCATGTAGGCAGATCTCCCTTGATGTGTCCGATAGCATAGCTCAAGATACCACCGAAGACACCGGCAAATGTATTATACCAAAACGCAGTGCGCAAAGGCTGCTCATTGCGTCGGTACCATTTTGAGTTGACTAGTAACAAGCATGGAAGTAGAGCAGCTTCGAAAACACCCAGTAAGAAGCGAATGGCAGCGAGTCCGGCAAAGTTGTGGCATGCCGCCAGCAAGCACAAACATGCACCCCAGGCCACGAGGCAACCTCCGATGTATTTTCCGGTTGGGAATTTTGTTATCAACCAAAGATTCGGAAACTCCATGGCAAGGTAGCCGAAGTAGAAAATGCTTCCCAGCCAGCTGTATTGTTGTCCGACTAAATTTGTGTCTGTCTTTAAGCCATATACTGCCGCATAGGCAAGTCCATTCTATGTGATCGTAAGTCTCGTGTATTTAATGAGTATATATGTATTGGGGAAGACGGTACCTTATCTAAGAACGCCAGTGTCATTGAAATGACGATGAGAGGCATCACAACCGCGTCGATCTTCATTAATACGCGACGAGATTTTGCAGCGGAAACTTCAGGTTCGAACTCCCCATCGCGCATATCACATAATATGCTGACAGGGTCTGTGGCAGAGCCTTTAGTATCGACATTGGCTGTTTGATGCATCTTGAATGTGCCGTGGGGAATATGGGGGGTGTTGGTGAAGATTGTGCCCGTTGGCTCCTAGATAAAGTAGCACGAATAAAGATAAATATTAAAAAAATATGTTGTCGGTCATCAGTTATCACATATCATTCCAAAGACGCGAATAAAAATTTACTTAAAAAACCGAAGACGAAGAATTCGCTCTTATATTATGCCTGTTCGAGCTCTATCAGCACGCAATCTAGCTATCGTCTGATGAAATCAATCTTATCATACTTTAAACGTCTGATATTAAACTGTGGAGATGATATGGAGTCCTGGGAATGCGCGTGTATAATTCGCTTGTCCACTCCTTTGCTCGGGGTCAAGCGAGATTATATCTCGGTCTATACCGAAAGGTGGGTCTTAGGGCTTGGCATGCCTACAAGATATCACCAACGTAGGAAGAAAAATATAGGCTATTTTACCACTAGACCATAACAAAAACCGTTTCGGCCCTGCGGGGGCCATATTTTAGTCCGACAGCCAACTTTTAATCATATTCGGACCACACCGAGAGCGAAATTGGTTCAGCCTCTCGGTCAACACCGACGTATATCCCGACTTGTGGAGACTCATCCGAGAATTCTCGGGGATTGTATTTAAAAAGCGTAAATATCCATGGATTGCTCCAATTGCGTGAGAACAAAGACGCATTGGACAATTCCATTCTTGTTCCTTATTCCGAACAAACGTGAAAATGAGCCCCCTCGATCAGAGCAAAAAGGGTGCAACCCACGCAACAGTTCCAAATGAGAAGAACCAAAACATCCTGGTGAGTTTACCTTCAGGGATAATCCGATAGGTGTTCACTTTCTGACCAGCCATAGATCGGGATGCGCGATGGTGTCAGCGGTGACTTCAAACTGGTACCGCGCAAAGAGGCAGTCATCTCCGTGTTTGATTCGAATTTCTTAATCGGCGATGGTATATGGGTATGTAACCATCCAACTAGAGGGAATAATTACTGATCAGATATACAGGAAGGAGTGCGCGCCAGGAATGGACGGATCCAGTTCGCCAAAGATCACATTAACCGCCTTTTCCAATCTTCCAAGGCAATGTTCATGGATCTTGGACTATCCAAACTTCAACTATTGGATCTTCTCCACAGGACTCTTGATGCAAACAAGATGTCCAATGAGCCACACGTTCATATCCGGCTAGTTGTAAGCCGGGGCTTAAAATCGACACCCTACCAAAACCCCTCAGTGAACATTGGTCTCCCATTGATCGTTATCATCCCCGAGATTAAAGCTACAGACCCAGGCGTTAAAATGCAGGGACTAAGATTGATCACGTCGCACATTCGCCGAGGGCCCCCTGATGTCAAAGACGAGATGTGGAACCACATCTCCAAAGCCACAGACGTACAAGCGTGTATCAGTGCCAATGTCACCGGCGCCGATGAATCCCTGATGCTGGATCTGAATGGGTTCGTCAAGACGTGCAATTCGACCAACTTCTTCATTGTTCGTGACGGTGAGGTATGGGCCCCGACGAAGAATAATCAGATGCAGGGAATCACCCGGCAGAAATCTATTGATGTTTGTCGGGCCAATGGAATTCCTGTTCGAGAGCTCGATTTTACTCTTACAGAGGCATATGGTGCTGATGAGGCCTTTTGTACCGGAACATTTCCCTCGCAGATTCATGTGCGAGAAATTGATGGACGGACAATTGGAAGTGGGAAGCGTGGTCCGATTACAGAGCGTATTCAGCAGCTGTATATGAAGGTGGTGGCAAAGGACACAGAGAGAACACGGGTGGATATTGAACGGGATCTAGAAGCAACGAGACCGTTCAAGCTCTAGAGTATTTAAGTGAAAAGGTTCCAATCGGTGAATTCAATGCTTATGTTGCGGAAAGCATGTACATATACAGCAAGATTGATAAATCTTCAACTCCTACCAAATGATGATATCAACCCATTTTCTTACACTCCATGGCAGTTGAGGATCGATATAGATATAAGGAGGTATCGCATTGAAAAGAAAGTTTGTAATCCCATCGCGAAGCCATCGATAATCACATGTCTATCCTCGCGCCAAGCTCCGAGGATTGTGTTCACTTCCTCTGTTGTAAGTGTGCGAGGCGGATCGAGACCTGGAAGGTTATCCTAATCTTCGGTCCATTCAAGGGGGATGGATTCCATGTCGAGGAACGTTCAACGGCCAGTGTCGCCTATGGAGGGAGAGGCAAAGAATCCATGCCATTCATGACGAAGAAAGGCTAATCTTAGAAGGAGGCAAAGGGAAAGATGCGGAGATGGGGAGATGCGGGGGTAGGCGGGGCTTATTACATGGTGATGGTTGAGAGGAACCAGCGGACCATTCATTTAGTTCATCGGTGTTGTAACACATCATTCCTATGCTTTATACTAGGAAAGAAGAAAGAAATTGAAGACTTTAGACTATAGTGACCAGGAAAAGAAACCAGCTAGCTAGCTCGAGCAAAAGCGCAGAACAGAAGGAACAAGGATTGAACAAACGTGACAAGATGAGCGAGGTACAGCGTTGTCAAGTAACACATTCAAGACATACAGGTACGTGCGGGGGTAAAGAGTTGGACTAGGTTTGTGGGAGGGGATGGATAGCGTAGCTAGATATTGGGTGTTCGGGTGTAGAGGAATGTTGGAGAAAGCCCAAAGCCCAAAGCCAAAACCAGAGATATTTTCATTTCACTTGGACTCTTACTCGAGTGGAATGAATATGGATTTGGGGTTGACGGGTCAGGGAAGGAAATCGGTTGCGTCGGGGGAACAGCGATGGACTCTCTGTTTAAACGTATTGGGACAACCATCTGATGCCCTCGCCGTATCCTGTTGGAGAAAGGAGAAAGGTTAGTTATAATCATTTCAAGGTGTGCTTAGCCACCATGCACTGTATATCCGATGGTATTTCCCTGGAACTCGACGCAACTTACCCTGTCTCATAACAACACTGCACATGAACACCTCGATAGGCCGGATACCCTCGAGAGGAACCTTGCCCTTACCAGTAGTCTGGTAGAGACCAAGCTGGTGGCGCAGCTCATCCTCACTGACAGCATCGGGGTGATCGATCTTGTTTCCGAGAACGAGGAAGGGAACCTTAGAGAGCTCCTCCATGGCGAGGAGAGCGTCGAGCTCGGCCTTGGATTCGGGGAAGCGCTCGTAATCCTTGGCGTCAACCAAGAAGACGATTCCGCTCACTTCGGGGAAGTAGTCCTTCCAGAGACGGCGGGCTGAAGGGAGGAGGTAGGTCCATTAGTTATGTTCAATCCCAAGAATCGTGGAGGGGTGTTGAGTTGCTTGGCAGTATGCTTGCGCCACATCACGATTCCCCATCAAAAGTATCACTCACCCTGCTGGTGACCACCGAGATCGAAGGTCGTGAAGCGGTTGTTGCCGATGGCCAACTCCTCGGAAGTAGGGTGTGCGGTAGGTTGCAGGACGGCAACACGGTCGTTCTGTTGAATATCCTGTCAGCAAACAAGCCCCATACAACGCCTAGTTCTTCATATCTCCGTCGTGCTATATCCAAGCTCCCAGATCTGTGCAACAACCCAGCGCAACCAGATCTGGGCCTTGTAGCCAGCGGAGTTGAATACCAAAGGGCTAGGCCATCTCTTCCCAACTTCAACACCAACTCACCTTCAACATGTGCAGCAGTGTCGTCTTGCCGGCATTGTCCAGACCGAGGAAGAGAAGCTTGGCGTGCTTATTGAGGAGGCCCAGCGAGGCCAGGACATCGTAGACTATAGTAAAAAGAAGCAAAATTAGTAAATTGCACCTTGTACTTCGAGATGTACATCCGATCACAAGCAGCCGGTACCGCAGCACAGCCGTCGCATGACTCGATATCGGAGTCGGAATGAAGACATATTCGGTTCCAATGCAGCTAAGCTGCCCAGAGAAACATCTCGCTCCCTCTTCCTCGGTGCTTGAGATCGGCCCCGGACGGTGACTGCAGGTGATCAGGTGTTGTGTCGGGAGGGTACTTACACCAGTTGACGATCCACATGGTGAAGGGCCGGAGTCAGCAAGTAATGGAATTTAGGGAGACGAGCAGGGATCACAGATTAAGATCAGTGACAAGCTGATTGGGGAGAGGTGGATGGACGGGGGTGGAAGAGATTGAAGCAAAGAAGACAGGTTTGATGTTGTTTTCGGGGATCGGGTTGGGTGCCTTAGGCAGGAAGACGGAATCCTCGCGCAGCGATAAGCTACGACTTGGGGGGCTTTGGGTTGATTTGGGTATTTGGGTATATATGGGATGATTTTGTAGATTATTCTATGATTTGTTGGGAGTGTTGATCATAATTGCGTACTTTTCTCTGAATCTTTATCGTGGCGAAGACTCGCCACTACTCGACCTTCATAGTTTGCTGTTACCATCTACTATAGGAAAAATGATGTTCATCTAAAATATATTTCATATTCACTCCCATCAAACCGATGGATCTCTTTATTCACAATGCAGAAAAGCCAGATAGGGGTATATGCACCGCAGCCATGCAAGACAACAAAGGAAGCGACCTCTAGCAAGTCCTCAGGACCGCCGTATAGAAAGAGGGAAAAGAAAGGATATAGATGTACTTCCGACAGAAAATGCAAAGAAAGAACCACCTCCGTGTAGGAATTATTGAAGAAAAGGGTGAAAGGGGGATAAGAGTAAGGAAACCATTCATGTGGACAACACGAGGTCGGCTAATATGTGTAAGAAAGCGAAAGGCACTCGGATCGCTAACCGAGCAGGGTAAAACAAAAAAACCCCGAAACCAAAAAAAAGGTGACAAAAAAGTAGGTATATACAGGTCAAAAAACGGAGGGGTGAAACTTTTTCATACAAGTTCCATAGGTAGAGATACCTAAACGGATAGGACGAGCTGGGCGTCTTGACCGACGCCGTAAGCTCTGCACCTCTCAGCAACTTCGAGGCCAAGCTCCTTCATCCGTTCGGCTCCATGGCCTGGAATAGGCCGTTTGCCCATCTGCTCTTTGGCAGCTTTGCGGCAGTGTTGACGCCAGAATTTTTCTTTGCGTTTCTGGCGCTTTTTCTCGAGTCCTTCGACAATGTCGACTGGGCCACGAGTGTGTAGCTCACGGGTACGTGAGTGTTCTTGCTCTGGTGACTCAGAGAATGGTGGGATACCTTGCCAGCGGTGATCTTTGTCTAGGCCGGCGAAGAAAGGGTTGGGGACACGGGGGAGTGACTTTGTGCGGACGAGAGGCCGGCGCTGAACTAAGTGACTGATGTTGACACCCCCGGGAGACTCAACAATGGGCATATCATCGGTGAGTTCCCAGGTGGCTGGGGTGGGCGACTTCGCTCTCAGGCGTGGAGGCGGGGACTTGAGACGCTTGGGAGAGGTACGGCCAGGGCGACGGGGTGGTGGGGACATCAAACGCCTAGGAGAGCGACGGGGTGAGTGCTTGCGGGCCTCGCCCTCTGGCCGTCCTCGAGTAATTTCATCACGGTGACCTGTGGAGGAGGGCACGCTGGAAAGCTCCTCCTCGGATGGTTCGAGGTCTTCGTTGTCCTCCGGATCGCTGGTAGGGAAACTGGGGTCGATATCTTGCGGGATGACAATTTCCTTAAGACGGCGGCGTTCTTCGAGACAAGACTTGTAGGCGAGTTCGAGGGGACGATCCTCGTCGAGAGTTCCACAGACGAAGTCGGTACTATCAGGAAGGTTCGGGGTTCTCGGACGAATCCCGATGCTCTTGGAGGTCTTCGAAGCGCGACGGCTAGTGACCCTTTGCACAGGGGCTGGAAGCCAGTTCGAGTGGTCGTCCGTCATCGAGTCGAAAGATGTGTTCGAGGCGCGGCGTTCCACGGTCGAGGGGCGTGCATCGATGGATTGACTGGTGGGTTCTGGGACACGGGGTGATGATCCCCAAAACTCAACGTCCGATCCATCATCGTCGCTCTCGTCCGACTCTGCAAAGCCTTCCTCGTTGTCCGATTCATTGCCGTCGTCTGAAGAGAAGTCATGCACAGTCTCGTCGTCGTCAGGAAGGTCTTCCATATCGTCTTCCTCCTCCAATGCCTCTTCTTCCGCCTGTTCGCCGAGCCGTCTGATGGCCATTTCTTTCTTCATACAGTCGTTCAAAGTGATCTTTTGCGTATAGTCCGCCTCCTTGTTCACCCATTCATCGTCTTCGTCCATAGAGCTAGCAAACTCATGGAATCGGGTAGCTTCAGATTCCTCGAATTTACCGAGTCCACTGGTGGGGACACCCTTGCGTTCTGTAGTTACAGAGACAACCTCCTCTTTGGAAACCTCCTTAGTGGTCTCTTTCGAGGTGGGAGAAGCTCTGCGGGCAGTAGGTGCAGGGGAGCCACGGCATCGCGGCCGGATGGAGGACTTGGCCGCGGGAGATCGCTCTCTCCGGCAAACAGTTTCCCGTCCAGGACACGCGAAAGTAAGTGTGGTTTTGCGCTTAATGGGTTGAATCGAGGCTTCCTCGGTGGGAAGCTCCTTTAGTGCCTGGGCTTTGGGTGGGAGTTCTTGTGACGCAGAAGGTGAGACGGGAGATCTCAACTCGCTATTATCATTTTTACGACCACAAGCGAAGCTAATGCATCGTTTGCGGCCAAGGTTGGCCTCGACGGAAGTTTCACTGGCATCGACAACCTTCACCTTAGGGGTTGGATTTTTCTTTCCCATCAACGCAGCATTCTTCATCATCTGAGGAGGTAAAGGTGGGCTGGGAGTATTAGACAAGGATGGACTTGTGAGGCCGCCGTCGCTGGTCAATTCGGCCGTCGAGACGCCACTGATGTTGCTATGAGGGTAGGATCGGTACATGTAGGAGTCGTAGTGGGAGGCGTGTGGATCGGTTGGGGACATCTCCGGGCTGCTCTTCAACGCGCGGGTGAGCAGTGATTCCTTGCGGTTCACTGTTGGCCGAGAAAGCACGATCTGATCAGGGTTCGACGTGGCGTTCATGACGTGTTCAGGGGGTTCATCGACATCCTCGGCCAAGTCGGCGCCGTCGTGGGCCGGCTTGCTGGACGAGTTAGGCGAGATGAGCATCCTCAATAGGTTGTGAAAAGAAAACGTTCTTTCTCCATCCCGAGACTGTGCCATGTTTCAAAAGGGGAAGAAAGGGTTCGCGGTATAGTTCCAAGATATAAAGAGAAGGATGAGGGTGAGGCGAGTGGCGTAGGATCGAGTTTTAAGGCGAAGTTGGGACGTTGGAAAGATACAACAAAGTCTTTCATTCAACAAAGGCTGTCCTTGATATCAATCAATGTTAAATCGATCGACCTTGAGGGCAGAACAAGATGTCCCGAGCGAGGACTAATGTCATGATATAAACCGCATGACTAGGGGGTATCGAGACGAAGGAGGGTGTTCGCCAAGATCGATAATTATTCCTAAGAATGGCAACTCAATGTTGGGGAGCTGGACTAGATCTGTTTGTCGAATACCTCCAGGCTTTTAAGGTCCGTGCTTTCGGAGGGATCTCGATAAAAGAAAAAAAGAAAGGAAGGTCAGGAATGTCGAGAATGTCAAAACGAGAAATGGAGTAGAGATTATAAAGAGGAATAAAAAGTAGAAAAGAAGGGGAAGTTCGGGGAAAGGTTGACAATAATAACAGAAACAGAATAGGAAGATCGCATAGAAAAGGTGCAGGGGTCTCCTAATGTCTTGGAGGGGGGAAGAGAGAGAGTGGGAGTGACGATACGGCAGCTCGGCACTGTCGTTTTAGGACTAGTTTGGGTGGTTTTAAAAAGTTTTTTTGCCCACGTTTTTTTTAATTTTTCAATTTTTCAATTTCCGTTCTTTGTAATTTTACTAATTTCCCTAACCTTTTTGGATTTCCTTTTTTTTTTTTTTTTTTTTTTTTCACACTTTTAACCCACTGAACCCCCAAACTGACCCCCATTTTTTGGAAATTCCCTTACAATGTATGGGTACGGAGTACATGGAATACTTGAATCTGTAGGGCCATGTTGTACAGCCTTGAGCCCTGGAGACCCGGGGACTGTAACATCTCTGACTAAAGATGTCTTGCCATTTATCCGCTGGACACGGTTCCTGCGCTACTACTTCGTACATTGTACCATAGTATATTTCTTTCTTTCCTTTATTACTATATTAATGTTCTATATTCATTCTGAGACACTAAGTGTACTCTGTAGTATAAAGGGTTTCATGTCGAGTATCGAGTGGACGATTGATGACTAATGTCTGTTGAGTTGGTGGTTGACTGGCTATGAGGGATTTTGTTGCTGGGACTAAACCCGTTTTAGACTGTCCTTTTGAAAACTCCCTGTTGAACCTGACCTCTCTTAATCTCTGAATGCCGTGACTGTGCGAATCCACTTGCCAACACAATGAAATTCTGGTACAGAGTAACTCCATACTGGGGAAAAATCTGGTTTAACATCCTCACCGTATGTTGTACATTGGAAGTTCTATATCTGTACATCATAAACCTCCACTGCAGGTAATTTATTTATTGAAGATGTATCGGTATGGTCATATCCAAGTTATAGAGGCTCATTCTCATAATATAACCCGGTATGAAAAAAGAAAAATACCACCCGTCGATTGTGCCTGAACGCTGCCGAGCCGTCAGCCTTGGCTGAACTTGCCCTAGAGCTAACAGGGTTAACAGAATGAATTCTCTTACTCGACCAAAACTCGTAATGAGATAATGATAACTGAAACTATAAACGCGCCGTACGCGCCTTCATGGGTTTCTACTTTAATTGTCTACGACAGGGCTCTTGGCGGTTTTCGCCGAGATCTCGAGTCATACCTGAATGCTTGGTATTGATTTCTCTTCCCTTGCTCCAAATGCGGGAAGACTTCTCTCATCTGACGTAGAGTGACATGGACTATATTAGTCAATTACTCGTTATCCCGTCTTAGCCTCACACAATCCCCATGACTCAAGCCCGTCGGAGTTTCTCGGGTAGTGGTTTTGGGTAAATGGCGTGTTACATATAGTACAATATACTATACGCCGTACAGGTTGTGTACAGAAGCACAAAGTAGTATCCACTGCCATCCGAACTGCACCTCAAAACGGACTCTTGGCTCTGCTCCTTCCCGGTAGATCAGTCTTGGTATACATAAACATAGCACATAGCCCTGGAGTACAGGCTGTGCCCCGAGTAATTTGTAGATAGAATCGATTATCTCCATTGGCTTTAATTCCAGTGCCAAGTCCAAAGGCAGTCATATTTTCTAGGGATGTCCAGCTTAACCCTTCCCCAGCACGGCCTCGATTGACCCTCCAAATTTAGATCTAAATTGCTTCGTCATTTAGAGGCGAAGTGATCATGATCGCCAAGTTGGGCATACAATCGATCTACAATACACCTCGCGGAGTACAGATGAGTTGAGTTTCAGCAGGCAGGTTGGTTTATCATCCATCTCCACATTAGTCACCGAGATCTGAAAGGAAAATCCCTTTCCATGCCCGACAGACAAGCCCGAGTAACCTGCATTAAGCTTACGAAGACTCCCACGTTGACAAAGAACAGCGGTCAGCCGCGATCACGATCTGCCCTAGACCGGCTGACCGGGCCAGATCTTCCCTGCGTAAACTGAAATCGCAAACCAGTTTCCAAAGTATATCGCATAACTCGGACAATAAAAAAACTCCCAGAAGAAAAGCAAAAAAGGAAAAAAAAAAGAGAAAAGAAATCAGCTCCACCAGTAGCCCGAAAGATCACCGAGGCTGACATTCATACTGGTTTCCCGGAGATATGCAGACTGCAGTCACAACCCCCTCTTGAAACCTGTAGGGTCATGAACCACCCGTTTAGATCGCAACAAGCTTCTCGAATCCGAGAAGATCACCCCACAGTCCATTTGTCCGAGCAGGCATAACCCCTGTAAGCACAACCCAAGCTCACTGGATTGCATGTTCTGAATTGGGTGAGTTTGGAATTGAATTGAGGAAGAAGCTTGTTAGCAACACAACGGCTTTGCGATGGGGGATTACCCTGGGCTGAAGCCATTGAATTCATATTGCAACAATTTTTCCTCTGTCGGACTTTGTTATTTTATTTACGGGGGTACATTTCAGATAAATTAGACAATGATACTTGTCTCCCGAGGGTGGACTTGCATATAAAGCGATTCGTTGTATTTTTATTATCTTGCTTCTTCAGTTTCCCCATAGGGAGAAGGCAGCCGGGGCGCAAAACAGTGTTTTGAAAATATACATCGTATCCAGAAAGGTACAAGGATACGAACGTACGCTACTCCGTACAAAGTCCTCTGTACTCTACATGCAGGGCAAAAGTTCCCGCGCTGACAGCGATATCGCAGACGGGAATAGAAACGGTTGATTTCTTGGCCACCCCTCACTCCTTGGACTTGGAATTGGGCTTGGACTCCCTTTCCCGCAAAAAAAAAAAAGGGAAAAAGGAAAAAAAAAGGGAAAGCGAAATTAGAAAGGGATCTAATCCTAGGCGGCAATTCTCACCATATGGTTGGGATGTTGTGGAATGGGCCAAGAAGACCCCCTCCCGATCCTTCGGAGAAGTTCTCCCTAGTGGAGTAGGAAAGAGTGAGAAGTTTGTACGACAGGAGGTTCTATAGGGGAATATGGTTTGATCTGAAGGGGTTACTACAGTAGCGCTGTGTTCGTGGCACGATGAAGTTGTGGCAGGGAATTTCTCCGCTCACTACGGAGTATCGTGGCACTCAATTGACGATTGACCGAGACCCGCTCTATACCACTTACCCCAAGTCCCCAAGTCCAAAGTCTCCTAAGTGTAAGCAAATGAAGGTCTACTACGTGTGTCTAGCGTAATAAGGTGTGAACTGTGCAGGTGGGGATACGGACTCCGACCAGGGAATGGCACGAGCGGGATGTTCATTTTACTCCTAGAACACTCTTAAAATGTATGTTGTATTCTCCTAGAACCCCAACTGAAGCGAAAGTGTATGTGTGTAATAACACTAGAATCATTGACCGGGAACACAAGGGGAAAGTGGAGCGAGTAGGAGCAAAGGAATTGGACAGATGCAATGCGCGATAAGCGGGACGGGTAAATGGGTTGGAAATAATCCGAGTGCCTGTACAAGACTATGAGGCATTTTCAATCCTCCACTTTGGGGCTACTGCACTGTGCCTGATGCAGTTATGTACTAACGCCATGTCGGCATTTGCTGTTTGTTTTTACCAATTGACTTTGGATGTTCATGTTTCTGTTCTTGGCTTCCATTCAACGACTGATTTGATTTCAATCTCTATCCCAATTGGGAAAGACGCTATCCTCTCTTTGTTCTGTCAATATAGGAATGTCACTTATGATCTTGGCAGACGAATATTCTACCCGAGAATAAAGAGAACCCCCTACTCCGTACATGTTTCACACAAAGACAATAGACAAGGGCTAATAAACCATACCAATTGCTGCTCTGTGCAGGATATCTCCAGTATGGACCATCCCAAGTCCCGATACATACCCCAATACCCCAGATCTACACATCAAAGAATCGACTGCCGAGTCGGACTCGGATGGCTAATGCCAAGTCCACCCCGTGCCTCACACTGGTAACACCGTTCCATTGAGCAGATTTCCCCAGAGGAACGTCACAACCTTAACACCAACCTCATGACGTCCCCGCCAAGACAAACCTGGGGGTTCACAAAACCCTGCCCGGAAAGACAGGTAGAACAAATAAATGATCTACCCGGCAGTGCATAGTGCAAGGAGATGGCTACTTGCTCAAGGCCACACCGGAGGAATGCTTGGCGACAGCGCGAGGTGAAACAAACTGCCAAGATCTAGGCAGTGAATCTTAGAATGCGTCCGGTACGACGTGAGCTGTGGTATCGAACCCTTCTGAAGAACAATGAGTATTTCCGGGGGTGACAATACGGGGTAGAAAGAGCAAGGAGAAGGAAAAGAAATGCCGAGTTCTCCACAAAGGGGGTTGAGAGGTTCTATTGATCTATTTCGATACACCCCCTTTCTTGAAGAGTTCTTGGCACTAAACCCTGTGATAACCATCCGCTCCATAATAGGATCCCCCCTCGATGCCAAGCACTGTGCTACACAAGATCGAATTCTCAAAAACGAGCTCGTTGACGCCTGGTCTCGGTAGTGCGGTTATCGAATGCCAATGTATGGGGGAATGGTCTCGCCAAGGGCGATCATGGTGATCATACCGACACGACGAGCTGCGTGAATATAGTCTTGGCACCGGTCTTGACTATTTACATGCTATTGTTTGTGCCAAGCCGTAGCACGGAGTGACAATAATGCGTCGAGTTAGGGGGTTACAGTGGCAGTGCTGTGTTATTTTGGCTCGGGATCGACGGGCTACAGGCTTGGCCGTTTGACTCGGTCCGGTCCGATTGAGATCTGTAAGTTGCCAGGGTGTTGAAAGCCTGTTTATGCACTGTCTATTACCTGGTTATTTTGGTGCCTAGTACGGAGTATGTTGGCACGGATTTTCCCTTGCAATAGATAGTTATGCGTACGAATGTACGATGCATACAATTCATCATCGGGAATACGATACGATCGACACTGTGGCGTCCCTTCATCTCTTCTATTGCAAATATACAGAGTAACTATCCAGAGACCTGCGCGAACAAATATAGCAACCTCTCATAGAGCATCGACATACGCCTTGGCCCACGCCACTTTGCGCAATATCGCGGCTCTTCCCATCGCTATAAGCCTTCATCCCTGCAAATCCACGTAAGATGCGCCCGAACTTTTGAAAGGTCCTAGGCACCGGAATACCTACCCCCGACATTCCTGACATTTCAATTTCAACGTACGTATCGCCACCGTTCAACATGACAGGTGCAAATCTTCCAGAAATGCTTGATAATCAACCCCACCTGCCCATGGACCTCCTCTCCGTAGAACATGGTTTGGCCTCACGTTTGATCATCGGGTCCGAAATCGACTTGCCAATGATCGTCCAGTTGAACCTGGGTACATGGGAATCCCGTGCGCGTTCAGTGCACGGCATCGAATGCCGGGGAATTAATCCTTGGGTGAGTCCGCAGACCGCGAACGGAGAGAAGAACCTGGAACGGTCGCATCTGGGTGTTAGGAGTCGGGAAGAACTCGGCTAGCCACTAACATGACCATCTGACAGTTCCAATCTTATTATAGGTATCATGGCGGTCGCATCTATGGCCCAACTGACCATGATGCAATTTGAGAAACTTCGCGCATGACACAGCGACGATTATTGAAATTGTCTATATCTCTATACGATATAGGCGGTATGATATCATTTTTAATAGGGCGAGATGACACGGGACTTGAAACACGTGTCGGGTATCGCCCATGCGAAGCAATATTGAATTCAGAACCAGAACCAGAACCAAACCTACAATATTAACCAATATATTGTAAACCGCATACGGAGTACATATGTACACAGGGTAACGAAGCGGCAAAAGAAACGACACCAGTTCCAGCAGTTTCATGTCCATCGCAATAACCCCAACCACAATACATCCAACCACGGAATTAATCATCGACGATCACCGAAAGAGGGAGGAGATGAGCGCTATCAGCGGGAGTTATCTCGAATAAAACCCGACCTACGTAATCGCGTCAGAACCTCCAATACGTCGACCCGTCATTCGCTCGACCGCCAGCCAATCTCTGGCCAATACGACCCCCGTTCTAAGCAGGGACCCTTTTAAAGGCGATTCTAGCGGTTGCGGATAATGCGAGCGCGGGATTAGTCGGCCTGTGGATGGATTTGATATCATATCAGCTATCCATGGGTTCGGAGATGGGGGGCTTGAGCTTCTAACTTACTTTTAACGTTCAATATACGTTTTAGATGCTCATTTGACACTCCGCACGGGTGACATCACGGATGGAGATGGGTGTGGGACAATGATTGAACGCGTAGATGGTTACTATGCTTGCATGTGCTTTGATCGTTACCTGCACTAGGTACGGTCGGTGCCTTTCAATATGGCTCTACGTCAGATCGGTGTGGATCTACACCGTACGTCAGTGCTTGCCCTATACGATGTACGACGTCGGGCTTCTGGTGTGCTTCTGGTATGCAACATATTGATGATAGATGGCCGTGCGATCAAGATTGTAAGTGTTTATTGGTAAGATAATGTGGGGTCTCCTCTATTGTTGGGGATCTTCGTGGGAGATATATGTTGGTGCCACAACTGTATGATGCGATATCTGCACTAGCAGAAATGATTTGATATGAGATATCTCGTTGATAGAATCACAGGGCATGATGGTGACGCTTTTTATTTTCGATATCGGATTAGGATATTCAAACTGCTTTCTTCTGATTCGATGTTTCAAAGTGTAGGGAAGCACAACTGTATATCTCACTTCCTAAACTGGCAACCATAGTTACAGTCGAAATACAATGTACACACACTTGTATGAATCAGTGAATTATCTCATGTATTTCCCTTTCATGTTAAATAACTCATTTTAGCACTATTCTGGTTGTTATTCATGTGTCACCGACCTGCTCTCAGTGCTGTCCCTAGACTTGATACTATATAAAATGAGTCATACATCTCTCTCTCGACCTCGTGACAATTAGATCCCGTGTTTGAGTAAAACGTCTGTTTGCAATATCAATTTGCGTCATAGTAAATGCATCAATATTCAACATCATCCCCCATCAAACTCCCTAACTCTCTCAACGTCTAGATGACTCATTGATCTGACTCACAAATTGCACGTAATAAATACAATACATTTATTGTATGATGCGCTGTTTCTGAGAAGTATTGATCCTCATAATCGCATACCGTGCCTCCTTTAGAACGACGAGATCTTTAGTGATAACAATGAAACCTAGGCTGCCATATTGATCAGAACTAGTCCAAACAAGATAGGGACGAAGTAAGCTAAACACCATCATAGGGTGAGGCTTAAGCTAGTCCTTTTGATCTAGCATTAGAGTCCTACCAACATCAACAGCAAGCTTGGAAGTTGCCTACTAGGTCGTCTGGAATATTGGAATATTGCTATGGCTGAATATATATTGACATATGGAACAAACTAATCCCTTAATACCTCAGGAGGAATACATCCATTTTGCTTGTCTTTGCCACTGTCGCTGTGTGTATCCCAGCTAGCAGTACACCTCGCCCTTCATTTACACTGAAAGTATACGGGATATAAGAAACTGTGGTCATATTAGGACACTCCCTCGGAAATTAGAGTTAATAGATCCAAAAAGAGGTGAGTCAGATAGAATGAAGCGAATATTTTTTTCATAACTCGTACACATTTTACGAGGCTGAGGGGTGACAGTGGACCTTCTCTGCTTCGATCATTGTCGGCTATGTCTTCTATAGACATTCTATCGATATTCTATTATACGATGCAAGCATCATCGACCAGGCAACCACTCTCATTTCCACGGAATAAACATCTTCTTTTGATTTTGGATTCTATTTGATACTTGTCTCTTTATAAAAAGCCAAGTCGGGATTGTTTCCCAAAAAGAAAGCGAAACGTAATAATAAAAGGACGAAAATAGGTTAGAAAATCAAGGAATATTATACTTAAAGGGCTTTTGAAGAAGTCCTTTTAAAGGCTAACGGCTATCACCTTTTACTATAACGCAGGAAAAGAGGGATAAAGCTAACATGCTGGTTAACGCGACCCATATACCCCTTAGAAAAATTGTTTATTATAGGCTGAGTGTATCTGTCAGGAGGACGACATCGAAGTGCATAGTGTAGATAGGGGATAGATAGATTGTTAAAGAAGCCAAGTTACAGAAGCTAAGAAATCCGACAGTATCTTTCATAATACAAGAGAAACTATCGGAGATTTAGCTAGGGTCTATAACACGAGCCGGTCCTAGCGCGGAAACCCTATAACATGACCACGCCCATACCTCCAGGCCTCTGGCTGTCCAAGCAATCTGATGCATCTTCATTGACCGCTGGACCTACCTGGTAATTGAAGAGATAGTAATGAAGGCGGCCATCGCCAGGGCTGAAACGAAGCTTTTCTAAGAATAGATCGTTGTCCTGGAGCTGAAGTGCATTGAACACATCAAACCGAGCCTGATGACGTATATACCAGTTAGCTCGAGAATAAGGGAGGGATGGAAGGATGATAGTTCCGGGTTAACAGAAACCGACATGACCTTGCCTTTTTTGCCAAGATAAGGGCATCGTTGATAAGACCCTGAACGCGCTGCTGAAGGTTCGGAGTGCTGTCCGTCGATGCATAGTAATACAGATATGCGGTTCGAATCACGTCATTCTGGGAGTGCGAGAGCACCGCAGATTCGATGGAGTAAAAGGAGACAAAATCCGTGATCTTCCGGGTTTCTAGATCTTCCACAACATATGCCCATACCACCCGTTTGCTAGAGGCTTCTTTCGCCTGGCCGGCTCCAAAGAACAACAAATGCCTGAGTTCGTCTATGCTGAATGTTGGACTGATATCGAATCGCTGCAGATATCGCCCCAGCAGCTCATGGACGGCATCCAGGTCATCCGCTTGCATGAGGCGCAGGCCCGGTGTTTGGGTAGTGCTTGGCAGATGATACTTTGCAATCTGTCGGGCCTTTGTGGAGCTCGATGGCAGGTGCGAAAAGCCGGACTCGCACAGTTTGAGCCAATTCAGGGGGCGATGATAGTATCGGCATGATGCCACCGGAGTGGGCAAGACTGCCGCAGCGGTATAGATGGCCTGGTAGATGTCTTGGAGGTAGCAGCGCCGGGTAATCTCCCTGATCAAGAGTGGCGCCAGACGCTTTGAGCGAAGTCTTTTGTGAATACACAGAAAGTTGATTTCGATCACCTTAATCGTTTGTGCATGAACATTGATGTTGGCCGGCAAACCACTAATGAAGGCGACTAGTTTTTGCGATGCGGAAGCGCGCACTCCGATGTGCCATTGCTTCTGCCAGCCTGGAGCAGTTAAGGCCCTGCTCGTAAGAAGATAAATTCAGCACTTGAGGGAAGATCTCGGTTTTGGGTAGGAATTAACCGACCATCTCAAAAACACCGGCGAGTAGTTGAGTCGGAAGGTCGAATCATCATCCTCGACGTAATGATTTGACAGTAATTCATGCAGCTCGCCCACCTCCTTCTCATCCTCTGGGTCGATTGTTCCCCACTCAAAGCCGTCTAATAGTGGGTAGGGACCTTTTGGCACTTCGTCTAGATTGATCACCTTGATCGGCCCTCCCTTTGTTTTACCACCATCCTCATTGAATTTTGGCACTGGCTGTGTCTTCCAGAACTTGTAAGATTCGATATCTTTTGCTTCCTTGCCATTGTCACTTTGGCTCTCTGCTATCTGGAGCTTTGCAAATAATTCGGATACTGTTGCTTTATCTAGGTTGACACTTGACTTGGTCAGGGATGGGTCTGTTTCTATTGTCAATAAATCCTGTTTGATTTCACCCATTCACCCATTCTCTCTTTTGACTCACCACTGCTAGATGGCAAATGATCCCGCGCCGTATTTGATTCCTCCATTCTGTTCTGAATCTGCTAGCTCTTCTCCTGAAAGGAACACGGAGTTTCAGCAAGTTAAAGGCTAACAGCTATTGCGACCAATATCAAGAGATTATCCGTGGGAGCAGGGGAGAGAGGCGCGCGGGGGAAGGGGTGTAGCTCATTTATGGTAGCCACTCTCAAAAGCCAATGCAAGTTCATTTGTAGATTATGGTGCATATTCGGCTATCTCCGCGCAAGTGAGCCGCAGGATTTTAGTACATGGGCTAAGCATGCTAAGCTACACGTTTTTGGAGTAAGCGAGAGGTTGTGCTGGACAGCGAGCATTACCAGAAATGTGGAGACGATGTGAGGGACTAAGAGGCGGATACCCCGACGGAAGGCCGGAGAGAGTCTGCTTGCCTGTGGGTCATGCACTGACTTGGAAGAGAACACATAGCCGGAAAACACAAAGAAGATTGCCATCATCGGGAAACCTGAATAGATCGGACGGAGGATCGGAAGCTGCAGGATATATTGGTGGTTTCCGAAGCCATATATGTTCCATGTGGTTCCGCAGATAGACTCGACTATAGTGATGGACAAAGACCACCACAGCGGCACAGCCTGGAAGACTATCGAGATACTGCGTAAAGAGTGACCAATCTGAAGGGCCCATCATACGTGTGAAGGTTATTTAGATAGAATTGACTTGGCAATTCATAGATTTATAAAAATTTGGGCTTCTATATCCGGTATTTCCCCGAATGCTCTTAATGGCTTGTGCACATTCCATGAGGCTGGGGGGATGAAAGTGGACCTTCTCCGCTTCGATGTTCCCCAGTCTCTCGATATTCCATCGATATCCTATCGACGTGGTATATTGATATACCGGCAAAGAGGCCAATGGAAGCCAATCACTTAGATTGAAAGGAGAAATGGGGGCCAAAAAAAAAATATCAACCTCAGGCCGCGACACCAAGGCTTATCTTTTGAGAGATGCCTATTCTCACCTCAATACGAGATGGAAATCCTTCCCCTCTATCTCTAACCATCCATGCATCTCTCCATTTGGACTGTCTAAGAAATGGAATATAACCCAACATCCCCCCAATCGTTTGCTGCCTCTTATGTTTCCAACTCCCGCTTCCATCGCTCTTTCACCATCGAGCCAACTTCTACCCATGGCCCTCTCAATGTGACTTACGGCGAGTACGGCCGTCAACCTAATGAGAATGGGACTACCCCGACACTCCTCTTTTTGCCAGGCATGTTTTCATCCCGGTACATCGGAATATGTCTACACACAATTGCCGATAAATGGGGCGTGCGCGTTTTAGTTGTTGATCGGTAGGCGTACCCCAGACCTCTTATATGCAACATGAACTAAGGTTGCATCGCATGTAGTCCCGGAATGGGAAATTCAACCGATGTGCCGCTGGCGCAGCGAGTCTCCACTTGGATCGAGACCGTCCCACGGCTGTTAGCCCATGTAGGCATCCAGCATGTTTCGTTGGCGTCGCATAGTGCTGGTACTATGTATCTGTTTAACACCTTGTATCACTGTCGGGATATTCTGGATCCTGAGAAACCGATGGTCACTCTGCTAGGTATGTTGCATTTCTCACGGATCAGTATACTCCTTTTGGGCACATTCCTCATATTGGATGGGCATATCCTAACATAAGAGCTCGGGATCTAACCACACGATAGCACCATGGGTCGATCCTGCCAAATCAGGAACCACCTCCATGAAAATGGCCCAATATATCCCTACTCCAGCCTTCAAGCTCTGGCATCATATCCCACGTCTCTTTCTCGCCAATGATGGATCTGCAACAGCGACGAGTGGAACGATGATTGCCAAACTCACTGCCTCCTTTCCCTCAAAGAGCGGCGATGACCAGGCAAAGAATCGTCTCTACATCGCGCAGAACTATGGACTAGACCTAGACCAGCAGAAGGAGATAGACTCCTCCATGATGCAGTATATGTTCAAGGAGGACACGGTTGGCTCTAATAGCGAGGCGCTACAGTGTCTACGGAAGGAGCCTAACACGTGGGGCAAATGTGCAGACTACGAGGTCTTTGTGCGCGAGTTGGTAGAGCGTGAAAGAGGACGAGATGGAGCGCCATTGAAAGTTCAGGCATTGTTCGCTGAGTCTGATAGTATGATTGGCCAGAAGGGCCAAGCTTATGTTGAGAGATGTTGGCATCAAGTGGATGATGGGGACTCGAGGGGCGTGCTTGAATTCGATTCGAGGGTAGTGTCTGGCACTGACCATGATAGCTTGGTACCGTGCGCGGAAGTGTGGGAGAGCATTTTCAAGAAAATGCAAGGAGCGGAAGACCATAGTTCAATATAGTTCGTGATATACCATTGGCTTAACCTAAGAGCTACTATATGTCCATGTATATATGTGTACAGCGTATACGAAAGAGTGCGTCTACGGTTAAAGACTCAGGAACGTGGATGAAAGACGAGCTGCACGAAGCCATGATATATTAGGCTGTGGACGATGGTACTCGGAGGCGAACGGCATACATATACACAAAATAACTCCGAGAGCCACAGCAAACACCTCGCAATCGGACCCGAGCATATATCTCCGTCGACTGGCCATTTTGAACGTGTTGAGGCAGCCTTACTGTCTAAGGCAGACTCGACCTCTACTTCTCACATTCTCTTCCCTTCTCTTTCCCTTCATTTCTCCCCAATAGTCGACTCAACTCAACCTATTCGAATTTTACCACCTCGCATTTCCCTATAACATGTCAATAATCCTTGCCTACTTTGAGGCCGCGGCTTGAAGACACTAACTTCATTCTTTAGATTACTTCACGGTTCTACTTAACCGTGCTTCGCTTGTACACCGAGGATACCTTTGATCGGTATCAGAACGACAAGCAGGCCCAAAAGCCGCATTGATACTCGTAGTGAAAGCCCGAGAAGTGGAGGTCTAATTACTTATTGTTAAATTCATGCAAAGGCTTTAGATTGAAGCCGATTCTCTACGTAGGTTTCGAAAAAGGCCATGAGTTACGGAACCAGATACAGCGGACCAAGGCCAGCAATGATTCTGCGCTAATTACATATTTAAACGAGCAGCGGAAGATGCATGAAGAAAAAGCCGCGAAGTCTGCCAAAGCTAAATCCTCTCTGAGCGCGATAATCCAACTCATTATGACTCTGGTGCGAAAAAGAAGAGACAGAAGATCTTATTTCCATTTCCCAGCATCCTCCGTTCCCTGAGCGACCCGTTTCGCCCCGTTCTCAAGACCCGAGCTTGCACTACCGAGCGCATTACCAATCGGCTCGCCCGCACTCCCCGTCGCGCTTGTGATGGTATCGCCGATACCTCGCCCAGCAGTTCCTGCCACTCCTCCCACGGTACGGGTGACACCGCCGACTGTGTTTCCAAGTGTGGAGGTGACGAATTTGGCGGCTCCGGTGACGCCTTTGTCTTGATTTGATTCGATCGGCATGGTGGTTTGATTGAATTTGGTAGAATTGAATGGATTCGAAGGAATTTTCTCGAGTTTCGGAATGAACGTAAGGGAGTGGAATGCGGATAATTGTAGATTGTGGTAAATATGTAAATCGAAAGAAACAGGGTGGCAGAAGGGCATTGTTATATTGGGGCGTGCTCCCTATGACATCATTGGGTGGCTCAGTGGCTGTATACCCCCAGGGCAATATAGATTGGTTTCTAACTTACAATAACAATCCGATATGATGTAAGAGGTAATAATGATGGAATGGCCACGATATCACGGGATCGGAAATCGAACACTGGTGGTGTTTTCACATTGGCATTATAGTATGTCGCTAAGTTGACAGGCTAAGTTGACACGCTGCGTATGGTAGCCACACCATAGGCTTCACTAATCATTTGTTCTCTTCAAAGATGATAGGTTTGACTGCTATTATTAGCCTTGTATCTTAAAAGAAGACAATGTCATCAAGAGAAGAGATCTTTTGTGGAAATATATTTGATTTGTTAGAAAAAGAACTCCCATCTCTCCCTATGCCTTAGATCCATGAAAATGTAAGCACGCAATGGAAATCGCCCTACTTTAGAAGATTGCCGGTAACCATACGATTGAAGGAGATACAGGATTGACAGTGAGATAAATTACTTTCACGCTGGTTGTGTTGGGAGTACGGTACGTACGACCAGAAGCAGATGGAGAGTTGTACCGAGAAAGGAGGCAATCTATATTCTATCTACCATTGATCACTCGCCACGTTTCTGGTTTTTCATACCCCTCCATGGTAGGGGGATCGCCTTCTTTGTAGTCTGGGCTATAAGTTGGTATGTGCTTGGTATTATGTCACTGCTTCGTGGATCCCCGGGACCATCTTAAGGTTAGTACCTCCATGGATAGATGCATACATATATATGTATGTATTTTCGTACTGGTTGATATCTGTACACCAAAAGAAGTTATGAGCGCAATAGCATGTGTTGCTGCGGCTTCTCAGCTATTGCATGTATAGGCAGCTTATCGTCATCTTCCTTTTGCTACACCTTCATGCAGCTAGTGCTTCTTATTCATTGCCGCCACAAAGCCAGTGGCTCATACTCCGCTACAACCTCGGGTATCTCAGTCATTCCGCACAAGCTCTCGCACATCACCAACCACCCCACTGATTCGATTTACTCACAACGCCTTCGAATTCGTCTCTGTCGCACTGATAATAATTATTAACACCGCGCCAACGGCTTCACCCATCAACATCACTTGCGAATTCCGCCAGCCTAAGACCGACCACTCCACCCACCGGATAGTGCTTACCCAGCCCGTCAAAAAAGAGCACTGAACACAACAAGGATGGAATTCTTCACTAGATTGAGGTCGACTTTAAGTTCACTACTCCTACGAGCAGGATAGCATGATTTACGTCAGCTAAATCCACGCCTCGTCATCACAGCCGGCAGACATGCAAGGAGGAAGCCAGGCACTATACGGATTCACAATATCTGAGGCCGTACACGATCATGCTATGCTAGTAGAGAGCTTTGCATTTTACATAGCTCTCCCATAACCCAGATCCTTTCTTCGTAGTATGAACTCCAACATCAGTATCTTCCTAGTCTATGATAAGACTGTAGCAATCCAAGAGAACAATAAAAACAAATTGCTTGCTTTCTTCTATACAGATAATTGAAGTGAAAGAAACAAGAGCAGTCTCTGTGAAACAAGGTCGAGGGGAAACAGAGTCAACAATCAATATTTTTTGATGGTGACCCCAGCTGAAGTAGTGAAAGAAACATGGCAAAAGCAATCTGATGGCAAAACAAAACCCGGGATGAAACACCCTGCCTGTCAAAACGCGGTTAGGGGTATCATTTCATACATTAGAAAAGGAAATGGAAATAAGAAAGAGAAACGAGAAAGAAAATGAGGAGGATGAAAAAGACGAGAAAGAAAGAAATTTGGGAAGGAAAAGGGAAGGGAAAGAAAGACGGCATTAGAGGCGCCGAATGCCTCGGCGACCAGAATTGGGTTGGTTCTGGCGAACAGACGATCTCTGACCAGCAGATTTACGTCGGGGCATTTGTTCAGTCCTCTCCATCAGCTTGACCTGATTTGTCTGCTCTCTCAGCTTGCGGGCTTTGACACCGCGCCACCATCGAGCAATCACCTCGTATGCCAATTTCGTCCTGACCGTCGCTATTGTACATGCGTGCTTATTCCGTCGCTCTGTGAATGACCGCCATGTACGTTGAATGACAATGGCGGAGTAGGTACGCTCCAAGGGAGAGACCCAAACAGTCTCAGCAGGTGGTGAATGTTCTATCTTTTTGGGGACTCTGACTCTGACAACATTGCCTCGGGTTTCACCCAGAGCCGCTCGCTTCAGTGGCTCTTTTCGCGCTTTTTTGGGCTTGGTTGATACGCGTGTTCTGGGAGTAGCGTTTTGCATGGCTGGACGGGCCATTTTAGACACTGGTGAATGGATCTTTGATTTGCTTTTTTTGTTGGCGATGACAGAGAAACCAGGAGGAATGTTTTCTTTGCCACCACCTGTTCCAGGGACATCAACTGTTGTCGCTCCGGCCTGGAGAACCTTCACACTTTGCTGAAGCGGAGCTCTCCAGGTAGATCTTGCCAACGAGGTTTGCGGCTGGCGTCTAGCATGTTGTGACTTCAAGCCGTTGATCCCGGCATCCTCTGATATATGTGGAACTGTGTCTTTAGTTTCTCGCTTAGATAAACTGTAAAACCCCTTGAAGACGGTGGGAGTAATAGAGTCATCAGATGGGATGTATATTGTATCACATCGTGTTGAAGACTCGTGCCTCGACGAGCGGGGAGTTCGAGCTTCGGGGAGAAAACCTGACGTGATGTCAAGACTTCCGAATAAGAAGTGAGATTTCATATTGAGATGATGGTTGGGTCAACTATTTTGAAAGTGAGGGAATGTGTCGAGATTGTTGTGCAGAGAAGCGGTGAAGTCAATCAAGGGATCAACTCTAACGCGGGGAAGACGCGGGGTGAGACTTGATGTTATCAACAAGCTCGGGCAACCGTAGATTGGCGCATCAAATCAACAGAGATCGAGCATCGCGTGTCTGAAACAGTCGATTACTCCAAGTCTCGTGTTGACCTGTGAACGCGTTGTCCAGGGCAACACGTGGGGGTAAACACGTGACAGTATCCAAGTACCAGATGGACAGGAGGAACAGATTGGATCTAGATAGAATGTTCTCTGCAGGGTAAACCGGCAGTCACACTAAGTTCTTAATGCGAGAGTACGTACACTCAGGTATTCTTTCCCTTCCTGTACGTTTTTACGAATGCAGATCGTTCAAGTCGGATATGACTCTAGTCCAACATATGTACTTGTTTATCATTTCCCCGAGGAGGATCTAGATCATGGTGACGCCGAAGCAGTCATTAAATCAGCCTTGGCTGCATGAACTTCCTTCAACAGGTGCGCCACCAATCGGTCATGCGTGGTGTCTGGGAGCCCGGCTGATGGGAACCCGACTTCGGCTCCAAAGCCATGCATCCCTTCCGGGTATGGGTGAGCGGTTTCCCGCATGCGAGCCGACAGAGTCTCAACCAGTCGCTGCATATGTTGTAATTCACCTAGCGTGACTTGCGCTTGAATAGTCAATCCCAGTGCCTGATCATCGACCGAGTGGTCTCCGATCGTGACGGGTTGATGAACCACCTTCTCTAACGAGGGCCTTGCCTCGTCGGGCCCACTATTCACACTGTTTCCGGAGGACCTGTTGGGTCCGTTCATAAAGCACGCCCGGATCATCGCGCGGTACCACGCAACTAGTCGGGAACAGATAATTGCTAGTATCAGCTGGTTCTGTGGGCGGAGAGCACAGACGCACTGTAGCATGCGGCAGACTGACATGCCTGCATCTTTATTTGCTTTAAGAACTGAGCCGGACATGCGTGGTGGCTCGAGTTCACTGCCATCATGGCTACCGGCGTTTCGGCGGGAGACGCAACTCGTCTGGGGGATGTGGAGTGAGCGAAGGGATTGCGTCGCAGTTATTATGCAAGGGGTTTGATGTTGTGAGTGACAAGAAGCTGCTGCAGCTTGGGGTGGTGTTTGGACTGGAGTGAGGATTGAATCTGGCACGGCGAATAGTGGGGTGGAGAGATCGGGAAGCGTGGAGCAATCCAGCGTCGGTTCATCATGATCGTGAAGTCCATCGGGGTGCAGAGGTACAGGAACAGAGCAGAGGTCTGGAACAGTGCCAAAAGGGTTGGGATGACCCGCTCCAAAGGTATCAAGGTATACACTGGGGTCAAGATCGACACTCCGGTCGAGATCTAAGTTGTCTATCGATGCATCTGCGAACAGACCATCACCGAACTCCATATATGGATGGAGTTGATCATCATGGGCTGTACATTGGGCGAATATTGACTGCCAGTGGTCGTTTCCAATAGGCATTGAGTCCCCGAGAAGGCTTGGGTACTCAGGGGTAGAGGCTTCCATCGCACAGTAGTACTTTTTTCCCCGATTGCCGCCTCATGCTCGGCCCGTCAAGTGGGGCCTAACCCGATTGGGATAGTGTTTGTTTTAGCTCGATCTCGTGTCGGCCAAAGTTTTTAGCTGGGGACACGAGGTCACATCACGACGTCAGTTTCTCTCCCAGTCTCTAACCTTTGAAAACATCCCACAATTGTGAAGTCGAGGTCGTGTCCTGGAAGACTGCCCGGATAAAGCTCCATGCGGCCAATTACTCAGCTTCACTTGCATATTTCTTGTTTCTTGGCAAGGAGGGGCGGAAGTGGGTTGTAAGCGGGACCAACGTCAAGCGATCTACATAGGTAAGGGAAGGTGAAGACAAAATCTAGCCTAAGATGCCCGAAAAAAATGCTAACAGGGGAACTATCTCCATTAGCTCCATTAACAGGACCTCGGTCTACGAGTAATCCTTCCATGGCAAGCAGAGACCGACGCCATGTTCCGCAATCGCATTCAAGCTTCTAGATCGTCCAAAGCCACTCCGCGTACCGCCTCTCCATTACAGACCCCAAAACTCAAAGATTCCTGCGACAAATGCTCTGCCTCGAAAGTACGTTGTACAAGGGAGAAACCCTTCTGTTCCCGCTGTGACAAGCTCGGATACACATGCTTTTACAGCCCAGCAAGACGGGCTGGCCGCCCCTACCGGTCAAAAAACCAGTTCTCAGAGGGAATGAATAGCGAAGAATCAAACCCACTCTCTGCGAGAGATATAACAACCACCCAGTTTGTAGATGAGAGCGCGAAACTATACTCCCGCTTCAATGGCTCCGCCACACCTGCCAACGTGACGTCCAATATCCCAATCCCAAATTCCACTCCGTTCAACAACCAAGCGGCACAGGCAGACCCTATTACCGCAAAGAGCCACGACGTCTCCGATCCGGATTGCCTGCTAGTCGTTCTAGAAATATTCTCCGAACTAGAAGTATCAGCAGAGCAATTGAGACGGGTATTACCCGTCGACGCAAGTCCTCTCAACGCAGTTGCACAGACTATCACAGCAGCCTTCCATCGCCTCTCTGGAATTTTGATCTGTCCTTGCTCTCAGCGAGCGGAGGTGGGGATGCTCGTTTCGGCAATCTGCATGTCCATCACTGATATACATGCCATGGCAATTTCGAACTTCGCGAAAGACCAACCTCCAGCTGGGCTACTCAGTCAACCGACACCATGGGAGATTCCCGTTGTCGGGTTTAATAGATCCACTGAGCATGACGCTACGGCTATGCAAATCTTTACAGAGCTTTCGGAGCTGGCCAGGCTAATTTTACAGCTTACCGAGCGGTATAATGAAGGGGACGGGGCTTCAAATTGGGAGGGTCTGGGATGTAGACCAGAGCTGCCAACGGACATCATGGCAGGAATGGCTACTTTCTTGAGTGAAAGGTTGCAGCAAATCACGAATGACGCTACTTATTGGCTTGGATGAATCTAGATCTGGCTCTTCTATGTGGGCTCTTTTGCACACCAAATAGTTGTCCTATCTCATCGAGGTAGTTCATTAGATATAAGAATACAAAACGATATATTTACATCAATACATTCAACTCTCTCTCCCATTCCATGATCCTATTGTTTGTAAGCTCTGTCCTCCTGCTCAAAGGTGCGAGCTCTGTTGGTTCAACCATGGCAAAACAGCCTCCAAAATGGGTTTCCTTGCTCAGGGAACAGCGCATGCGACGCATCGGCAATAACCTTCGATGTGGCTCGATTCGGATACAAATCCGTTGTCACATTCCACTGGGCCCTTGGCTGAAAAGGGTCATCCTCTGGAATCAGCTCGAGGACCTGCATAATATCGGCACCACCCCAATGAGATGCCGAGCTACCATAAGCTTGCATAGCGGCATGCTCCATGGTAAGAACGTCGGGGTACCATCCATCGATCCAGATATGAGCATCGTGATTGGGCGCAAAGAAGGCCGTTTGAAGAGCCTTGAGTCTTTCGGGGATAGCAAACGAGGTGTTGGCAGTGATGAAAGGCATTTTGGCGATATCGGTCGGTAGGGTATTTTCTTCGGGTAGAGTACGGAGCTCACTTTGGCCAGGAAGGTACCAAATGCATGGCCGATCAAGATACCTTGCCCTCCGCCAAGTGTATCAATCACGGCTGCAATATTGGCTGCTAGGTCTTCCAGTGTGACATTGGTGATCGGTCCCGTGGACCCAAAAGCACCCCGTGGTTGAGGTCGCAACACAAGGTACCCTGCATCTACTAGTGAGTTGCTGAAATAGTTGCAATCATCACATCCATTTCATCCGTACGAGGGGATGATCACAACCGTGGGACCTGCACCTTGAATGAGAACTTGAATGTTTGTCTCCCCACTCCGGAGGAACTGGATAGGCCATTTGTAGTTTGCGAGGAGCTGAGTGAACATTGGTAGAGCATGTGCACAAGTCGTCGCGAAAACGAGAAAAACACTTGAAAAGAAGAACATAGTTAAGTTGAGAGGAATGATATACTGTCCGAACTCGGTGTCAGGGCTTGTGGCTCTCACTTCTAAGGACGAGGCGGCCTTTTATACGTAAAATCCACTACTTCCCGAATTGCTCCTTCATGAATTTTGGAACACTCTGTTCAATTTCTGGTCTTACAACTGCTACTGACTATCGGGCATTGTGCAGTCGCCTTGGCAAGTGGATGACGGTGCGGCTGCAGGTCAATTCATTGCCGGGAAGCCGATTGCAGGAGAGAAATCCGAAATTGATTAACACCCTGTATAGATGCGTGTTGGTCTCCTTGCTTACTACTTTCAGGTCATTGGTACCCTTATATGACACTGCCTACATACGTAGGTTGGTAAATTGTGATGTTCGGTGATATCCATGAATTTTCTGTCTTAGAAACGGGATATGACCATTGATTTCGATCAGCGCATCTTGACTCGTGGAAAATTTGCCCTCAACACGAGCCGCCATCAATTATGATCCCATTGTGTTCGTTGATCACGAGTATGCTAGCGTTTATTATGAGGGAGGTCGTGTCCTAGTTTCCTTATGCAAGGTCTGTTGCTTGTTTCCGGTCGTGGTTGTTGATATTCTTTGCGCGTTTTTTTCCTACCTCCTCTGTAACCCCTCCTTATCTCCTCTCCTCTATGCATAAAAAAAAAGGATAAACCCCGAAGGGAGACATAAATATATAGGACTTGGAGAATTTCCTCTTTGGCTTGAAGATTGATGCCTTGTATATCAGGCACCCCTGCCTGCCGTTTGCATATGCTTATGCTCACCAAATCTAAGAGCCCCCACCTTGCAATTCCAACATCGCTTACTCAAGTCGCAAAGCCTACCTGAACGTCTAGAGTCGATCAGCAAGGGACATGTCTACCCCAAAAGTGTGGACGCAGCCAGCGTGGCAGGAATATCTATCCTCTCGAAATTCCGGACTGCCATATCTCCCAGCGGTCGCGGAACTCAGCACGGAGGTGGTACGAATACTTGGCGGAAACCCGGGCAACATGCAATTGCAAGGAACCAATACGTATCTAGTCGGCAGTGGCCAGGAACGGATTTTGATCGATACAGGACAGGTAAGCGATTTTGAACATCCCGGTGTCGTACTGAGAGACTAAACAAGAGAACCATGTCGATAGGGATGTCCAATCTGGCTCACCACTTTGGTCGACTATCTTGACAAACACCAGTTGAGAATATCCAAAGTATTGCTGACCCACTGGCATACCGACCATACCGGTGGTCTCCCGACACTACTGGCTCAGTATCCACATCTAGCCGGTGTGGTCCACAAGGCCCGTCCGGACCGGGGCCAACATCCAATTCGCGATGGACAGACTTTTACTGCTCAAGGAACTACGCTGCGAGCCGTGTTTACGCCCGGACATAGTCAAGACCACATGTGTTTTGTACTAGAGGACAGCGGCGCCATGTTCACAGGTGACAATGTGCTTGGACATGGAAGCAGTGTCGTCGTGGAAGATCTAGGACCATACATGGAGAGTTTGAAAGTCATGACCCAAAGTGTGTGCAATGAAGATATAGCAGTTGGATACCCCGGCCATGGTGCTGTGATAGATGACCTACCAGCCAAACTCATAATCTGGAGCAGACATTGGGAAATGCGAGAGAAAAAGGTGTTATCGGCTTTTATCGGGGGCAACACGAAGAGAAGAGCACCCTTGACGACGCGGGAGATCATCATTTGTCTATACGGGCCCGAGATGGAGGCGATGGCGGGGCCTTTCATAGCGCAGGTTCTATCGAAACTAGCTGATGAGGGGAAGGTTGGACTTACTGTCGCAGGACAAGAGAAGAAGTGGTTTATGCTATAGAATAACTTTGTTAAATGCCTAATTGGGATTGATTAGGCAAATGCATATGACGGGAATTCGGACATGTTCCGGCTATTAGTATCAACTCTCCAAGTGCCTGAGCTGAGCGCTGAGCCATACGCCATGGGTATAGTACCCCGACAATATCGGTGGCCACAGCCATTAAATGCACAATCCGATCCACACCCAGCCTGTGTCAAGCTGGGTGGCAACGCTTTCATGCCCTTTTTGTTGTCAGAATTTCTCGAATTGTGCGTTTCAACTTACTGGATATTCAAATTATCCAAGTCTTACATCGTCGAGTATAGAGGCCGCATAAGCGGCCGTCTATAGCTAGGTACTGATATTAAAGTGTCCTTTTCCCCAAAGAGTATCTTCATCGATAACGTGTTAATCTATAAAAGCATTGCCATTGCATTCTCTCCCTCCTGAAACTCAACAAGCATTTCTCGAACGCATCTCGTCAGTTCAACCTGATAAACCTGTTCCCTAATCATAAATGGATTACCTGAAACCCTAGACTTCTCCAGATATGCTTTCTAATTAGTACCGGGCCCCCATTTCTCAAAAAGTGGAATGCCAGATAATACAGTGAGAGACTATTTTCGATAAAAAGGGTTCCCCAACTCAATTCATACTGGTGCTGGTATCGTCTTCGAAACTGCCCCCATGACATATGCCATGTTTGCAATGCTCCCTTTAGGGCGGACATATCAACAGGAAGTATCGAGGTTTGAGCTTCTAGCAGTAGTGAGTGAATTGCCAAAATCAATAGATTCATGCCGAATTTAGTTAGATTTGACTCCGATGGAGACTGTCTGACCATGAGCCCCTTGACAGAGGACAAGAAAATTGGCAGTTCCTTCGATCGCTTTGACCATCGCCTGCGTCAGCATCTGCTTTGCTAGTCTCTATTGCTTCAACATCACCCTTCCTTATGCATACTCAGCGGCGCCCTGTAACTTCTCCGCCATCGAGATTGGTCTCTGCTATATCAGAAATTGTCTCGGATACGCCATTGGAAGCGTTGTCGGTGAAAAGTTGAGCGATGCCAAACAAAACTTCAATATACCAGTTGAGCCACAATGGAGAGATTCGCCCAACCGAAAGAATGAAGACTGTGTGGTACGGCGTTGGTTGTGTGCCGGCAGGTCTACTGATCTAAGGCTGGTTGGTTGAGAAATAAGTGTTATGGATTGCCCCTCTCGTCGGAACGTTCCTGTATGGACTAGGGCTCATGCTTGTCACTTCAACGGTCATGTATTTCCTTGTTGATGTCAAGCCGGGAGCTGGTGCGTGTAGTTGTTGCTGATTTGAATTAGTCCGGAATATTAGCACCGTGCTGTCGCCGATTGCGTTGGAAATATTGGATTTGGGTGGTGGATGACAATTTTGGCAATAATTTCCTCCTTGTCGTTGGTTTTGTAGTGATCGTTGTGGAGAGATTCCGCTGAAAAAAAGATGTCGGATGTCGAAGGTGCGGTTTGAATCAGTCTGCTTTTCGCGAAGTCTTTCCTTTTATTATGACATGACATTAGATGCGCGTTCAACGAAAATAGACCAATAGGCTATAGAATATACTTAATCATGATGACAACAAGAACTATTCATTTATACATGTATCTTGCCTCCTAGTAGCGTAGGTGTCTCCAACTAGTGGTAGGAATAGTGAGAAGGACATAGTCTAAGCCAACATTAGCATCAACAGAGCAGCCAGCGAGAAGTGAAGTCTACAACCCCTTACTTGCCGGAGATTCGTACCTGCTAATCTCTCTTGGAAGTCAAGTTCTCTTACCTCTGGGCGACTCCGCATGACTGGGAGGATAGCAAGGCACCTGATATCCTGCGAAATATCATCCTGGTTTGGTCGGAAGTTGCATATTTGAATTGATTATCTGGTCCTTCATATCTGGAATATACTGGTGAAAGAGTGAAACACTTCTGATGACATGCAGGTGTACATCATGCACGGAGTATCGCGGTAGGGTCCAATTACGACAACACATACATCATAGTCACCGCTATCGTTACCCTGCCTTGAAGATTATTTGCACTCTTATTTGAGCAGTGCTCTGTATGGCCTCTATCCACAACTGGGATTTAGATTATCTTATCCATTTGGGCCGAGACAATATCAGAGACATTGTGTTTCATGTTTGTGCTAGAGAGAGCTGTCTTTTTGCAAATAACGTTATGATGCAGACCTCAGTCATCGTGGCTGTTTCGAAGACAGTCATTCATTGATTCATTTCCAGTAAAAAACAAAAACAAAACAGAAGCATGATCGTCATTCTAGAAGCATCGTGGATGGTGATCTATCCTCAAAATGGATACATGTGGATGCCAGATCTACTAGGCTGGCAGATTATACTAGATGACTCAGCATTACGTGCATAGCACTGGAAAATGCATAAAACTGGTGGCAGAGGGCTTGCATGGAGCTTGTGGCCAACTCAGCAAGAGGTACATTAAACCTTGATCTCCATTAATCAGATTGGATGGAAACTAAACATGTACATGTATGTTGTACATCGTAGTTTTATGTATCATCTAATCTCCTTTAAATTAAATATAGACACCCTTACATTGTTAAATCATTAAATCATCGCCAGGAACAGGTAAGTGGGTCATGTCTAAATTGGACTCTCGTGACTGGGAGACCTCCTTTCCCCGGACGTGCCTCAACGTGGCCCCAGGCATTTCCAACCTTGCACATTGACATTCTTTACCCGGTAATTTCCCTTATCTGTCTGCCTGGCGCCTACCCTTCTGCGACATGGATCTGTAACCGCCTGTTTCATCATCTATTTTGCGTCACCACTCGCCCACCTTCTCCGCTCTCCTATCATCGCGGCATGATCCCACAAGCATGGAATCAATCGTGTATGAGAACTCGCCTTTGGCCGAATATTTGGAAGGTGAGCTATGTCCGACATACCCGGGGAATCTAAATCAACTGACATCCTTGCCAGGGGAGGGTGGAAACGAAGAAAGCTGCCCCGTGGAGGAGAATCAAAGCGACGATGATCATACCCGTTCCTGCAACTTTGCCCCTCGAGGGGCTTCCAAATTCCAGAATCGCGTTCGAAACAAGCTGCCGAAACCTCTCAATCTACGAGGCACACCGCAGGGGGAACTAATCGAGAAACTATATGACACCTGCTCGGTACGACCCCTCCTCTACGATAGCAGGGGATCATGCTGACACTTCTTCTCGTCTAGTCTGCCCTGAACATCCGATTGGCACGAAGCGATAACAAACGATTTTTGGAACAATTTGGCTACGTTATTGTCGCATCGCAACTGTTAAACGAACACAGCGCTCCTTCCTACACATCCGCTGCAGATGTCCTGTCTGCAAAGCAACCCTCCGCTCTCCCGTCCCTATCTACAACTTTTGGAATTCAAGGCGCCATTGTCACAGCCGCCACTTCTTTTTCTATCGCTTGGTTATTACATTGGAGCCGTTCAAGGACTGGGTCAGGATTCAGTCTCAAGAAGGTTGGAGTGCTTCTGATACTTGTGCCCGCTGTCGGTGTCTTGTTCTATGCTTTCGCAAAACGGCAATGGTTGAAATATCTCCGGCACCAGGCGGTTGAGGCAGTTGGCGCTTTCATTGGAAACGCTCAGGGATTTGACTCTGCTGCGTCAGCTTCTGTGGTCTTTATTCAGGAGGTCGAACTTGTCTCGAGAGGTTATCGGATGTAAGAACATACCGTTTTTGCTCGAGATTACAACGGGGCTAACCAACTCCCACAGAAGCACTCCTCTACCCCCTATCAGTCGGCTGGAGGATCTAGTACAAACGCGACGGTGCTTGAGATTACGCAGAGCGGTCTCAGAATGCTTCTACTCCATGCTCGAACGGTATATTCAATCCCAGAACACATTACGCCCACTTACCGATGACGGCAATCTTGCGAAATATTACGACATTTATGACATTGGACTGGAAGAACTCGAAGCGGTTGAGGCGTCGTTGTCGCAGCGAGCCAACGAAGACCAGTACTCATTGCGCGCTCTGAGGGATCTATTTGGAAAACTGTATAGTGTGAGGAAAAGCGTGCTGTGCTGCTTGCTAGCCCTCAGCGCCGACGGTGGTGGCTCCGATATTGCTCGGTGGAGTTCTGCTGTCGAGGAAATGCGTGAGCTCGCTACAGTGACCGGCAACAGCATGCTGAAAATGACAGCAATTTTAAATGAGGAGGACCGTGAGTGATTATTCCTGTTTTATGACACAAAGAAGTTGGCTAATATGCGCAGGTGATACTATTCCTCCATCCCCATTACCTTCCGCCTCACCAAGCAAGGACCACCTGCGTGCTCAATTTCGACGGCTCAACTCTTTATCACAAGGGGTCCGTGCCTTGCATGCTAAAATGCACATTGCCAGCGAGGAGTCACATGCCAATCTAGAACGCTCAGACCCTGATGAGTTCGAAACCAACCTCCTTACGCAATATGACTCGATTGGCAGTGATCTTAGGGCTCTTCTCCAAGAGTGGGAAGCTGGTAAAGCCGCATTGGTAAACCACCACGATCGCCTTAGCGTCGGGGATCCCTCGCGACCACCAAGTACTTTCTTGTTACCCATGTCCCCCACCCCCAGCCTGGGAGGATCTACGGCGGTTGAGGGCAGCCCAACGGATGCATTGAAAGCCTTAACTGGCGAGGGCCGGCCGGATCTGACCCAGACCTATGATGATGAGGAAATTTTCGAAGCTGTTGTACTCCCGGCCTCGAGAAACAAGAGAATGTCTTTGACAAGAGACGAGCGTCTTGCGCGTGTGCGAGAAGACCGTGCCAGACAGGCGACTGCCAGAGAAAAGGTAGATGCCAGCAATAACATGCTCAGGGAACTGGAAATGGTCATCAAGCAGCGACCAGGAAACAACTCTGCAAAACGAGTTACCAGCATCTAATACAAGGCTCGGATTTCTGTCCCATGCTTGATGCATTCCATACAGAATCCCTCTGTTTTCGTCTGCGCCATCCGGCACAGGTTTGACTTCAACCAGCGCTAGCAGCAGGGAAGTCATAAATTGATACCCACAACATGTACATATAGACGGGGCTCGGCGACACCGGTGTTTATTCGAGGACTATTGCTTTTTGCTTCTGGCTACTTTGCTTATTATTTATTTCTTTTGTGCCATTATTATCTGTTCGTCTGTCTTTAGGTGGTCTTGGATCGCGGTTCTTTCGACATTCGTCTCTGTTGAGTGTGGGGATCAACTTCGATGTCCTTTTTCCAACTTGTACACTACAGTTGGCTCTTCTGCAAATGAATTAATTTCCAATATCCATACCAGTCGTAATTGTTGATCATTATATCGGCAAACCCTTACGGGGATATACAAGAAGGAGGCCTTATTGCCTTGCTGCCTGAGGTATCAAACTTAACCCGAAAGGGACATATCGCCAAACGCGACCGCGTCTTCCCCACCCTCCAACGCGATCCTTATATTAGATCTGCTGCCTCTTTCATCTTCCTTCAAATACATACCCAATTCACTATCCTCATCTCCCTACCACTTTCTTCACTTCGAAAAGGCACACTCTCACCTCCTCTTTCCTTACGACCCGTTTTAAATACCCTAACACACACAAAACCATCAAGAGTAAGTCGGCCAACCCCAAAATCGAAAAGATTGTTGTGTGCGAAGAACCGACCAATTAACCCACTCTCTAGTGTTGGAAGCACGATTGGAACAGGCCAGCCTTCTGAAGCGCGTATGTGATCTATACCACTCAACCAATTCAGTAATCGTCAAATTACTAACACTGTTGTGTGTAGGTCGTCGACGCCATCAAGGATCTTGTCCAGGACTGCAATTTCGATTGCAATGACTCCGGAATCGCCCTCCAGGCCATGGACAACTCGCACGTTGCCCTAGTTTCCATGCTGCTCCGTGCTGAGGGTTTCTCTCCTTACCGTTGCGACCGTAACATCGCCCTCGGCATCAACCTTCTCTCCCTAACCAAGGTGCTCCGCGCCGCCCAGAATGAAGACATCCTGACCCTCAAGGCCGAGGACTCACCCGATGCCGTCAACCTCATGTTCGAGAGTGCAGAGACAGACCGACTCAGCGAGTATGACATCAAGCTCATGGATATTGACCAGGAGCACCTGGCCATCCCTGAGACTGAGTACGCCGCTACCGTGGAGATGCCTTCTTCTGAGTTCCAGCGCATCTGCAGAGATCTCAACGCACTGTCTGAGTCTGGTACGTAGCTTTGCTCTCGAAGCAATACTCAAACCCGGGTGGCAGACAAAAAAACAAGTCCCGTCATGCTAATTTCTTCCATAGTTGTGATTGAGGCCAGCAAGGAGGGTGTCAAGTTCTCCTGCCAGGGTGATATCGGTAACGGATCCGTCACTATCCGCCAGCACACCAACGTCGACAAGCCCGACCAGAACGTCGTCATCAACCTCTCCGAACCTGTCGCCCTGACCTTCTCCCTCAAGTACCTCGTCAACTTCTGCAAGGCCTCCAACCTGTCCTCATCTGTCGTGCTGCACCTCTCCCAGGAAGTGCCTCTGCTTGTTGAGTACGGTCTGGGAAGTGGTCACCTGCGTTTCTACCTCGCTCCTAAGGTAAGTTCTTGGTTGTTCAAAGGTCGACATCATTGGAAACCAAGCTAACGTGGGTTTAAACACAGATCGGTGACGAAGAGTAAACGAATCATCTGGTGATTTGAGGGGATATGGGCAATGCTAAAAATGAAGCTCGATGATAATAGAGAGAACTTGGAGGAAATGTTCTTTCACTACATCCCTGACAACAGGGGTTTTTAACAAGATGTTCACGATAATTTACACATTCAGCGGTCGAGGTTTCGACCTCGCAAATTTTTCTAAACACGCATCCGTCACTTAGAATTCAAAGATTTCCAACACAATTACGAGACTATTAGAATATTCCACCGGTCATTGGGCTGGCAGAAATATGTATTACATGAGTTCATATATTATATTGTATCCAGCACTCTGAATAAAGCCCCCACAAAACCTCAACACCAAACCCAGCGACCGAAACCTAACGAGCCCGCAGGCAAAGGGACCCTAAGGAACCTCGCAAGGTCCACAACCCCACTAATCAGCAAGGTCGCCAAAAAAAACTCTTCCCAGGCACCCCCCAAAAAAGAACCAGGGGGAGGAAACATAAACTGACCGTGAAAAAAAGAGGTGAAGCGCCATCCCCACCAGAATGATCGGAATCGAATGATACCATCCGCCTCTCCGAAGAGAAACAGAGCAAGGTATGCTGCGTATTGCACTAAAGTGTCATCACACACAATCTCCGCACCGACTCTCCCAAGGGGTCCAGGAGCAAGCCCCCGTCCCCCGATGTTTCTGATGTCAAGTGCAAGTGTGGGTAAGAAGTGATCTAAGATCACACCAGGCCCTCACGGGCAGGACCGACGCCGACGCGCGCGAACGAACGACGGCGCGGGTTGGGGTTTGAAGATTCCTCCGAATTTCTCATTTGCAAGGGGTCTCGCGAAGCTCTGGGCGGGACCCAGAGTCGCGAGGACGAGCTGTGAGGCTCGCCGTGTGTAGCAAAGAAACGCAGCATTGGTGGGGATGGCGCTTGAGGGAGGAAATTTGGTGGTTGGGTGGGTTTGCGGGTTTTATATTGTTGTCACGTGGGATGAGTCATCTATGCGCTTGGCCTGTTTGGGAAAGTATAGGGCAGATGGTTTGGGAGTTGGGTTACCTATGCTACGAAGGTCGGTTATGTTGCTTGTTTTTGTGTCAAGCTGGATGAAACCTTGGAAGGCTTTTGCTTTTGTATTGTCTGATCTGATTTTGGGCAAGTCATGGCTGATTCAAGCTTATACTCTCGGATTAGACCTCCCCCCTCTGTTCAGCGCTTCATGCATAGCTTGCATACCTAGATGCAGTGCAAGGCCAGACAATGAGAGTACAGCGTGGTGTGTGTGTTTTTCTTTTTATACCAAATTCGTTGTCTAATGGCGAGGTGGCGAAACACCTTGAAGATGGGAGATCCAATAGTAATTATCCGATATCACCAGAGCTATGCTTGGATATATGTGTATACAAATGTTGGTCGTAATCGAAAAAAGCCCTGGTGCTACTAAATTTCCTCAAAAGCTCGAACGATGTACGCCTTTCCTTGAACTTCTACTTTCTCCCCAGGTATTCTCCAAGATCCCACCCCCTCTCCATCAAACCCACCCACCATCGAAGGCAGAGAACCTGCAGCTTCCCCAACCAAATACTTCTCCTTCCACTCCGATTCCCATTCTTCCCGTCTAGCACTAACATCAGCGCCCGACTTCTTAACAGCCAGTTCACCAGATGCAGTCTTCTGTCGCGTATGAGTCTGCGTCTGGCTCAGCGCCAAATACGTTCCCCAGATGCGACCGATAAAAGTCTTCGTAACCGTCACGTCTCCTTCTCCACTGTCGAGATCTCCATCATCCGACTCCAGCACCCACGAAAGACCTTTCTTAGGCCCTTCGGGGCCCTCTCTGAATGGCAACTCCCGCCATACCTCCTCATACTCCTTGTCAGGTGCACCAGGAAGATCATGACGAGGCATCGACCCCATCTCGAGATCATCACCGTTTGGCAAGGGTACGAAAGTACCACAATCAATAGTCTCAAACGCATTGTGAGAGTCAAGCTCGTGGGAGAAGGTCACCCGCACTATTGAGTTGGTTAAAGGGTTGTTCGTGATCGTCTCACTGAATGTAATGCATCTTTTTAGTAAAAGATGTAGTTAACTCACAAGGCTCCTGGCTCTCTACAATCCTCTGTCCGGCAATCGCCCAGTCTATTTTGCCTGTTGCCGTTTCGATCCGCAGATCAACGTACCAGTCCTTCACGGACATCACGATTGTATCGGTTTTTTCCTCGGCGGGCGTTGTGAGCCATCGGAATGAGATTCGCTTGGAGAAGCGACAGGTGGATTGGTCGGGTTTGATACTGGCCATATTGTGTGTAGGATTTGGGTGGATGGAGGTGGTTGACTATATTAGGTGGGAGCCGAAGCTAGAATCTTAAATAGATATAAAGAGATATAAAGAGTTATGGGAAGCCAGATTAGGAATGTTGAAGAGAAAGATTGTCCTATCAAAGGAATGCTAAGGTTGCACATGTTATCTGAATGACATCTATGGATGGTCGTACCTCCGCGGGTCTGGGCGTTGCCCCGCTCTAACTCTCTGCGTCTCTTGTCTCTTCCCTTCTCATCTTCTCCACAGGGCTGTTATGGAGGACATGACTGGTCCCCCTTGGGGCACACTAGCCGTTGAACAATACTTCATTGTATCTTGCCCCTGAACTCATTGGCAAGCATTTTACTAACCCCCGCACAGACAAACTGGGATTATTCCTCAACCGCAACCCCAGATCAGCAGCGAACAAGACTAGTCGCTGGGTTTCTTGACCTGAATCTTATTCCAATGGAATGGCTAGATGAGGATTGGGAAAGCCTTTCAGTTCCGCCTCGTGCGCCTACAGTGGAGGAAGTCGACACTATTCTCCGACCTTATCGGGTGGACGCCCTTCGGTGGCGCGCAGCTAATATGTTCCATGACGAAGCATCCCCTGTTTACTACGTACACACTACAGCACCGAAGAAGGTAAGCGAGCTAAACACGACGAATTGATGGATATATGGATCGATTCGGGCTCATTTGATGCAGAATCCTGGTGGGCTGTCCTTGATAACGCGGAGCACTTTGACTTTGGGTCGGATTGGCGGCGGATATACGAAGTTCTTCCTGAAGTCGCTGGTCCACTTTCTCCGAAAGTTGAAGATAAATGGGTACCGCGATTTCGTGGTCCGGAGTATTTTGATTATGTACGTCCCGAATTCAAAGCCCAACTTGCGGAGGCGAAAGAACAAAACCATAAGGAATGGCGTGAGGGTGGACGGGATACAACTATTGAGAGCCTTACAATTAGATTTCACAAACTTTCTACGAGGACATGCCTAATCCTTATGGACCAGGAAGCTTTCCAGTCTGGAAGTCCACTGCTACTTTATCTGGATGGCTTTTGAAACATTGTTCGCGAGGGCCGTCTGGATCCTGAGATTGACGATCTATTCGGTATCATAAGTAAATGGATGGACAGCGGATTACTCGAAAATACCGTAGTAGGGGACAAATATCGAGTTAGCGGGGAGTTGGGGAAGGAACTCTATCAATTGACCGAAGATGATCTTGCAAACCCTATTTAGAAAAGATAATGAACAAGTTACCGCAGTACTAGCAATCAAACCGCTCTCGCATGCCGTCTACTCTGCTCCTAGAAGAAAAAGGGGGGGGAAATACATATACAAATCAAGGTACGTTGCCTTCGTTTTCAGATTCGCCCAATAGCCAATCAACATCGGTGTCTTCAATATCGGCAACATATTCGGTGCCTAAAGAAGGGTCAGCAAATGCTTGCAAATAATCTTTTGAAGTCCGCATACTTTCAACTCTCCATTCTCCCCACTTTTCATCCCGTTTCGATGTGTCAGAGCTGCTGCTCCCACTGTCTTTTATGTTTGTGTGGGTAAGTAGTCAATTGTGGCCGGGCTGAGCCGAAACTTCTCAGCATTTTTGATTCAATCACTTATGAGAAGTGGTGGAAGCCCTTGTTACAACTTCTTGAAGCAAAATAATTTGTCTGGGGGCATGCAACTTGTGATCAGATATTATTTGGTGTAATCTAGACCTCACTGAAGGGGTTGGTTTGCATCAAAAAAGCGAGCTAAACACCACCTCTCTAGGAGCACCCAACATCACTTTATTTCCGCAAAGTCCAGCTTACAACTCTGTCCCTTGGGCCTTGAAGAGATGATCTGATCTTCCAGCTTCATCGAAGCAGTCATATCCGAAGCCACTGTCGTCCGATAACGAGAATACACTTCCCGAAGCAACATCTTCATTTCAACCAACGCAAGACTAAACAATATCAGCAATCAGCAATAGTAACCAAAGAATAAAAAGAAACCAACTCACTTTTTCCCCGTACACCCCCTCCCACCTGTAGCAAAAGAAAAGAAGAGCCTATTCCGCTCAGCAGCTCCCTCCTCAACAAGCCAGCGATCAGGATTGAAACGATCAGGCTCAGGGAAGTCATTATCATTCACCCGATGTACCGAATAAGGCTGACAGCTAACAATAGTATTCCCCGGAACGGCGAACCCATCGATCTCCCTTCCACCAGCAGGTACATAGCGAGGCAGCGACATCGGAATAGGCGGTGCACACCGCAGCGCCTCTTTAATGACAGCATCGAGATACACATAGCTATCCAAGGGTGCATTGGCCGGCGCAGCTGTAAGCTCTTTGTAAAGTTTGTCCTGGAAACAGAGGTTCTGAGGTTGTGAGAGCTCCCACATTAAGAAACACAGACCATCGCCTGTTGTGTCAATGCCGGCTGCCATGTGGTCTTTGCACTCTGCGGCGGCCTGCATTAGTTCCAGGTTTGATTCTTTGCGCTTGAGTTTTTCCATTAGGGAGTGACCGTCGAGACCGGTTTGGGCGGCCATGTCTATCACGTATTGGTTTGCTTTTGGGGAGCTGCGGGCGTGGAGGAATTTGGGGAAATATGGTGCTAATAAAGGGAGGTAGTACTCCAGAAGGTTTTCTGTTTTTCTTTTAGTATTATTGATCATGGGAGTATAGAAAATTAGGCTGTGCCTACTTTGGAGACTTTGGTGATATGTCAGTTCGTGCATGATGTCGTAGTCTTCCGCTACATTGAGAGATTTGAGACCACAGGGGCTGAACATGAAGTGAGTAACGCAGTCCAGGGCATAGCAGTGAAGCAAAGACTAAGAAGGTTAGCATTACCCATGTTGGATGCAATGTTCTCGACAACTCACGTAAACATCTACACTCTTTTGGCCAGCCTCGACGCACTTAGATACAAACGTCATGGCCCGTTCGTGGATAACAGCCATAGGCTTTTCTTTCATAATATTAGTCATGGCGTATCTATCGGCAAAGATACGTTTTCTTTTGCTATGCTGGTGGATATTAGCGTTCGAGTATTTCATTTATAGTAGGAGCAAGTACCTCGTCTTTCAATAAAGTAGAAAACATTGTCCTAATCCTGGTTTAGCCTTTGCCAACTGTTTCTCCGGTGCAAATACTTACTTAATCCTGAACTGCCTGAAAAGGTCATAGTACTCGGTCTTGTCATACCCACTGCCCCCGGACGCATAGATCTCTTTAATCGCCTCCAGGCTGGTAAATGATAGTTCGTTAGGGCTTAGCCGGACAACAGGGCCATAGATCTTATGCAAGCGGTGGACCGATTCTCGTCGATTTGCAGTAAACTCCTGATACTTAATCCAAAAGCTTGTAAATCGAGTATACCACGGGCCTGGAATTGTAGACAACGGCGAAAGGAATCCGAAGATTACAATGCACCCGCAAAGGAAGATTACCCCAGCCCACAAAGACAGCATATTGTTGTCGTATCAGAGTCCAGATGATGAAAGGTCTGTCTTGAAGAATAGCGAATAGGCAATCATATGCTTATTTATAACTTAGATACGATTGAAGGATCTGCAATTCCCATTAGATAATAGACATTAAGTTGGAGATTTGATAGTCTATGCTCAAACGGTTAGGATTTGCCGATATCATCGCTATCGCAGTGCGGGGAAGGGCGACCAACGGACCTCCGGACTAGGCTTAGGTTGCGATAAGATTTGAGACTTTGAACTAAAAAGGGAAATATGAGGAGATGGCAGGATTTCCGAAAAACTGACTGTTCCTTATAGGCATCATTCTGCTCCTTACTCATCTCTGTCCCAATCCTGCGTGGCGTTCATATCTAGAACGTATGCCAGAGGGAAGATAAAGACTCTTTCTATAACAGACTGAGTAAATAGGGAAGGTGAACCCAGTAAGTAAAGCCATTATCCACCGGAGGTTACTTTAGGTGTTGGATATCTATAACTCCATTCGAAGATCTGTCCGATGCACATGGTGCCATGGACGTTACCAAACAAGCTCTCGGACATGAGGTCTGCGGCTGCAGCCGAGGCCAAAATCGAAATCACGAAACACTTCAGATCTATTTTGCGTTGATCCCTAAAAGCTGCATGAACCATGCTAGTATAATAATCGATGGATGGTGCGTTGGGTCAAACTAATAGCCTAGCAGTGGGACTAAGAGAGAAGCTATGGGTTCACATATATTATGCTTAGGTGTATAAGCTAGTCCTGAGCTGGTTTTCTATAGTGGATAGCTTCTTAAATTCGGGTCCTCGGTACTGACATAGGTAGTGACGATCTTATTAACTATCCTGAGAGAAATTACAAACGGGCTATTGTGGTTCGTTGGTCGCCTAGCCGCGCGAACCAGGTTTAGCGCAACACGTAAGTGAGAGTTTGGCTCGGGTAAGCTTAGGGGGCTTTTCTGTTGATAGGATCTGGCGCTGTGTACCCGATCCAGTGCCTCTCTTCCAAAAGGTCCTTTGCGATTTGGCTGGCCAGTTTTGTCTAGATGTTACCGGTACCCAGATCAGAAAACTCGTCACTCGTTTATGGTTGTTGTGGGGCAATTCTGGAGCATGGATTGGAGACAATCATGTTCTAGACTACGGTTATCGATGTGGGTGCATAGATGCTTCGATTGGGTTGGGGATGTGTCGGCATTGATTAACGCATCATTTATCCGACTTTATACAAGTCATCTGGTCTGGACCTAAGAATCTCGAACGATGGTAGACTTTGACCCACTATGATACGATGGATATGGGCCTTGGCCTTCTCGTTGCAAAGTATGGTTTGCACACATTGGGGCCTATCCCGGTGGACGCATTGCCTTCGGGTTTTACATGGGGAAGCACTTGGCTTTGGCAATGTTAGGCTGAGAGTGAAGATGAGGTGATAAAGATACCAAAATAAAGCCTTGGAGATGAAAACAAGATCAAACAGGTGATGCAATTATATTTCAGTACCGAGGTACAGGTGTGAACACACCTGCATGAACCAAGGATGACCTGGTCAGGGGCCACGGCTCGGACAACCTTTAAACCGCTTCAGCCACCTCTTGTCTCAGCCACATTGGTCGGGTCGGATTCCAGCTCTCCATATGGTATTACAGCATGGATGTTTCACAGCCTCACCTCCATATTACTTTCTGGGGATAGGGCTCAATGTGGCTTGGACTAATTGACAGGCCAGTGTAACAAGTTAAGTTGGCCTTAGATCAGCCCTGGAGGGTACAGACTTACCTAGTTAATTACCTACTCCACCACTGACAGGATTAAGTAAGTCAAATGGGCCGGGCGGCCGGCGGGGGCCCGCCTAGGCGACAGCCGTAAGGTGTTGAACCTGTTTAAGAATATAGGTGTTCTCTCTTCACCGATAAATTCGACGAACCAGAAGATTATTGATATACGTAAGACACAAAAATAAGAGAAGAATATATATATATATATAAAAAAAATTCAATAAAAAAAAAACAAGAGAGAGTCCAGACTCGGCTAAGTTTGGTACCTGTCGCATGTCGATGGGGTCTACTCCACTAGGCTTCGAATCAGGAGAAAAAAAGGCGTTGGCAAAAATAGTGTGGCTTCGTCCGGGTTGGAGAAACTACCTTTTCAGGGACTCTACGGAGTGTCTAGAATCCTTGTAGTAAGCAGGACTCCCAATTTGTACTTTTCGTACTTCCAGTACGGTTACGGGTGTACTCCATAGTGTAGGTACATCGTAGGAGCCTGCATACTGCGTAATGTGTGACCCGCCCCATGGTATGTGGACAACTCTGAACCCCAGATGTGCCCCTACTTTCCCGTCTCGAATCCTCTGGTCCTTCTTTTCCTTCTTCAACTTTCTTTTTCTGTCACTCGTTCCTTTTTCCCTCCCTTTCTTTGTACAAGGGTTGCATTTGACACTGTACGGTCGCTGCATACACATTCTCTCCACACCCCACCTGACAATTCGGAACACCGCGGGATTATAAAAAAAAAGAAAACAACAAACGGAATAAAAAGAAATCATCGTCTATCTTTAATTCGACTCAACCGGTTCGAGCAGTCTGCTTGACGGTCGCATGCCCCTGTTGAGACCTGCGTTAAATCACGTCTCCTGACGAATCCCGGCTTGAGGCCAACTAAATTGCCAAGCCACAACAAGCACACGAGCCTCCGGTTATTTCGATCTGCCCCTTCCCCCCGTATCGGGCCTATTTCCCACCGGTCTTATAAAAGAGAAAGCCACCGTCAGGTGGTCACACTGCCATCGTGTCTTTCCCTCAGCATTCCGCCGACTTGAGCTCCACCACGGAGCCTCTCGGCAAGATTCCTTCACACGGGTCGCGCGCTTCTCTCCTAGGGGGGTCTTTCGATCCCGCCTTTCGACGAGGGCCAGGAGGTTTTCGCGCAAGAGAGGGATACTCTAATGTCACGGCTTCAACCAATAAAACCAGGATGTGCTATCTCCCAAATACACATTGGACGTGGTCCTTTGCGATCGTCACACTCGTCCAAACAGTCGTAACACTCAGCCTTGAAAGGTATGGAACTCCGCCGAAGCGGACATCGGAACGCAACCATTAACCTCGTTGTTTTTCTAGTTACATCTTCGCAAATTTCCAAATCCAAGAAATCCCAAACACTAGTCCCGCTTCGAAAACTATCCCTACGTTCCTCGCCCTATACGGTTTCGGTTTCCTCTACGAACTTGTGCTGGTGTATGATGCTCTGCGCATGAAAAATACAATTCAAGTCATCGGACTGTGTCTCTGCAATGTTGGTCTCCTGATTTACGGCGCTGTTCAAGTGAAACAAATTCGAGAGGCTGTCTCTACCTTGGCCTTGATGAATATGATCAGTCCGATTGTCTGGGCTCAGTCCGAGCCGTTCCTAATCATCATTCCATGCATTGTGGCATTGGGGACATTATTGATCACTTTCGTGGCCTATAAACTCTACGACGAGTTTGCATGGACAATCTACAAGCATATCAGTGCCGATCTGCAAATGAAGCGTCGTTACCTTACCTATCAGGTTCGTGTTTCGTTCGACCTCCCCATCCGCAACACGACTAACCACTCACAAAACAGATCTATATCGCTCTCTTGAAATTCGATTTCTTTTTCTTCCTGGGCTTTACGGTGCAGTTCCTCGTCTTGGTCTCCTCGGCCAGCATGGATGCTGAATTTGCGCTTACTGTGGCTGCCATCCCCGTGACCATTCTCATTTTGGTCTGTGGCGCCTGGTTCGTGCGCCGAGAAACCATGGTTGGCATGATCATTATCATTGTAAGTCGAAAATACCAGCAATGTCGATCTGGCTTCTAACCATCTTACCAGCTCCTCTTATTCGCCGCGATGGGATATTTCTGCTTCAAGCTGTTCCGGATGTACTCCGCGCTGACTTACTTCAAATACCTACCCGCTCGACCATCGATGACCTTCTTCGCCATCATCACCATCATCTTGATTGTGATCACTATCGTTAACGCCTGCCTGTGCGCCCACAACTTCAACCGCGGTTTGAAGCCCCACATCAACAAGAAGAAGAACAAGGAAGCAGAAAAGACAACCGAGCTCTCTTCAAACCTTACCCAAGTACCATCACGGATGATGATTGATTAATCACCCGGTGCGAACAAAGGGTGGTGTTTCTATAAGTAATTTCCCGGGGCGTTGAATTTTGGGGCGTCTGTCTTTTTCTAATCTGTGAACTTCGTGTCTGTGTGGACACCTTGAAATTTAGCCTGATCTCTTTACGCATTTTGTTTTCTTCTGGGCTTTCGCCTCAGTATCATACCTCATCCCCGTCGAATGTGCTCTGCCCACCATCTCCCATCTTTTCTGGCTCTGAGCTGTCAAAAATTCCTGTGATTTTACTTTCCTTGATTCCCTTTACATGTTCATATCCATACCCCATATCTCATACCCCTCCTACACGAGTGCACCGACGGCGTTATCTGGATGATTTGATTCCCGGAGGTGTTCTTCATGTCTTACGACAGCCATCAATGCTTTTTCCGATTAATGTGAGCTAGTCTTTCTTATTAATTCAATGGACTAGACACGTGGATGGTATTTTAGTAGCTATATTTATAGAATTGATTGATTCCATATCACACATCATTGTTAGTACCTTGTAGGGACACTGGGTAGCGGTGGTATTTGAAAATGAGTATTGTTGCCCACTGCCATTTCTGTATGTCAAAAATTGTAACGCATTCGTACATATAATTACACTGAATCAACTTACTCGCTAACGAATGTCTCGTAGATGAGTTACGCTATTGCAGTAATGTGCGCCGAGTCGTTCTGATTGGTGGATTATTATGTACTGTAAATACTGGTAATTATCACCCAATTCGCCCCCAACTGCCGGGGTTGACAAGTCAAATACGGTATTACCCAAGAAACCGCGATCGTGGCCTCAACTCCGCAAACCTCCTTTCAGACTCTCTCAAGCTCCTCCTTTCCTTTCTTGAACTGCATTTCCATTTTCCTTTTAATACCTTTTTTTCTCTCTTTACACCCTTCCACTCCCAATCAATCACAATGGTAAGCCCATCTACCCCAAACCCGAGCCCCATCAACCGTTCATCCGACGATCAAGCCAGCTTGCCCCATCCACTGCCAACGCAACAACCCATTGCGAACCCTCTAGTCAATTCCTCAATCCCTCAATCCCACAACTAACACAATGCACCACCAGGCTTCCCCCCGCCCAGCCTCTCCCCTCACCTCAGGTGCCGAGTCCGGCCCTGACTCAAAGTCCGGTGCCGCCGCAGCCAGCGGTACCTCCGTCGGCCGTCCCTCCTCTCCCTCGACCCCCGGCGGTCCTCGTGCTGCCATGCGCCGCCGTGCCACTGCCGACCACAAGGAGACTCTGCGCAATGCCCGTCCCAGCTCCACCCGCTCTGCCGGCGCCGGTGGCTCGTCCGGAACCATGCTCAAGCTCTACACCGATGAGAGCCCCGGTCTGCGCGTTGACCCCGTTGTTGTCCTCGTCCTGAGTCTGGGATTCATTTTCTCAGTTGTTGGTCTTCACGGTAAGAATTCATTACTGGAGATGGGATGGATATTTGAAGTTGTGGTTGGATTATTGGTTGCTAATTCCTTTCTTCTCTCTAGTCATCGCCAAGATCACCCGCAAGTTCTCTGCTTAGGCACTTCATCAGCTTAATTGCGCAGTTGATCCCGTCAGATAACAATGTTGTGTACTATTTGTCTATCCCGGGCGTTGACTGCGTGCTTCCTGACCTCAAATCTTCCTCCCCTACCGTCTCACTTACGCACTCCTATACCCCGTGACCCTTGGGCCATTTCTCGTTGGTGGCGCTGGAACCAAATCAACCCTTCCGAAACAACTGGCGTGATTCTGTTTTCGTTTCCGTTTCCGTTTTCATTTTGATGTGTGGTGTTTTCATTTGCGTTGCAAAAGAGAGTTACTCATCGACCTATCTGCTGTATAGGTCATTCTGGGTAGAACTAGTCAGGTCGTGTATGCGTCTTGATATATCTTTGTTATGTCCATTGGCTCTTTTCCTGGCGATATCATGCGCTGGAATGGGCTGTGGCTGTGGCAGCTTGGACTGAAACATGGGTGGTGTCTGTTCTATCCGGACATTTGTCTGTACAATATAAAGACCCGATTGAATCTGATTCTGGCATTGAATTTGCTTTCCTGGTATATTTGTAGAATATCAAGCTTCTGGTCAGTTTGACCAAAGCTGATGCTGAATCTCGGAGTGGTTCGGAGTACATGGGATGGCGAATAGGCTCTGTTCTCCGTTCAATGCTTTGGGCGATACACCTAGAACGACCTCTCTCCCTAGTACTCCTCATACAACTCGAACATACACTGATCCAAAGTTTCTTAGTTGTGTCTGTAGAAGAAGGGCCGAGCTACCATTCCATTGTCATTGAACCACAGAGTGTTGTGTATCTGGGGCTATCCACCCATCCATGTATTAATTCATGACAAACGAACGCAATTGAAGGTGGCAAGCCGTCATTTGGCTCCCATTGCCACCAGCAGGTAATGAACAAAGGGATATATTCTATACAGCACAGAACTATACAAAAGGGAAGGAAAGGAAAGGACTGTGAGAACCCTTATACTGCAGAGGAATCATGTAATCATGAGAGATTTCAAACAACCTCACGATCAGATTAACATAATTGGTCTCCTTATAAGCCTCCTTTCCTCAAAGATCACGAAGCTGAAACCTGCAGTTGCGAAGTCATTGATCGCTCTCTGTTCTTAGTAATCACGTACCCTCCAGGACTAGCTTCTCGAGAAAACGACGAAAGGCAGTAGCATCAAGAGGTTTAGTGAAGGCATCCGCAGCTAAGCATTGGGTCGCAGCTCATTGTACTAGAGGCAATTTGCGCGGAACTGATATCTAATAGTAATATGATCTGTTCGACCATGATGCTCTGGACATTTCACCCATGCAAATACTCCAGTATTGTCAGCCTGGATAACAAGGCTTGTCCAAGATGAATAACCCCTCCCACACCACATTGCCGTCGTCCTTTTCTAACATCAAACATCTCCATATGGGGCATGTGTCTTCGCAAGGAAAGTTTTCATTCCACAAGTTGCTGTTCATGTTCAAATCTAGATTGGTGCTTTCTCGTATCCAGTGGGAATGTGGTCGTCCCCGTTCCCGTTTGTGTGGCTTTATCAAATCCGTCCAGCTTTGTACACGTTGTATTTGTAAAAGTTGTTGCACTAGCGCCGATGATACCGAAATCGACCTAACCGAATTGCGTATTGAGGCCAAAGACGGTGACGCTATCGAGGGCTGTCGTGGGCTGGAGGTACACTGCTGCTCTCATTCTCCCGATCTAGGCGCCAGAGCAACACATGCAATGCACGATGTGCGTACGGGTCATGGAACTGCAGCCGGCAGCAACGATACTGCTCCAAGGCACTCATCGCAATATAAGACAATGGATTTGGGAGTGAATGAGAGAGTGGGAGCATGGGGAGAGTTATGTGCCTTTTTTTGCCTTTACTTCCACTCCACACATTCATCGCTACCTTTTCCTTTATATTCACCGCCAACGTACTTTTATCTTCTATATGGGCCTGGTGACTCGCTAGTAAACATCCGTTTGCTCATATCCTGACCATCACGGTAACCGTCAGTTCAATTTAGCTTCAGACCTTCCGTTCTAGGTAATCCTATAGCCAATTGTATCTTCCTCACACCGGCCACCACTGCACAACGTCGTCTTTCCTGGAGTAGTCTATGGGGGTGTCGATGTATCTGACGATTTGGAAGGCCTTTCATACATGAGTTCGGTGTCTGATAGTGACCATGACGTAGGCCAATGAAAGGCCACGTCAAAACCGTCATAGTGATGGCGCAAGTGTTTGGGGATCCTAGGGCTGTCGATTTTGTCGTGCTGTATTCTATGTTGGATAAAAGCTTAAAGTCGAGGAATTCTTAGTCAGTCGAAATAGCATCCTCTGTGAGATCGGCATAGTGGAGAAGAACGCCAAGTTCACGGAGGGCATCACAGTAATAAGAGACCTGGCTTTTCGATTCTAGCCCATCCAGGATAGAGGCCGCCTTTTCTTCGAACTTTTTTTTTCTCAGGGCATCATGGTCCTGCAACGACGGGCGGATTGACTGGTTGATAAGACATGATGGACGGCGTGGAAACGCAATGAGATTGGTTTGAGAGGGTAGTGGAGAGCTGGAGAGCTGGAACAAATCTGGAAATAATAGTGTCCGGGTGAAGCAAAATCAAATCAAGAACAAGTTTAGTGTCACCATAACCCACCCCCACGTGGACCCTGCTTGCCAGCTTACTAGTGTTGATTAGATGATTGGAACTGGGTATTATACCTAAAACTCATGTACTCGACTTAGTATTCGACAGTTGAGTATCATACATAAGCAGTGAGAGATACTCCATTGCCATCGGTGGCTGGAGGTTATTCAACGGAACAAGGGCCAATAGCACAGCCCAGAAAATGGGTATTCCACTATAACTTGATGAGCATAGAAGAATAGTGATGTGGGATGAAGCAAGAAATTTCGGGCTGAAAAAGGTGGTGGATAGAGATATAACTGTTTATAGCGAGGAGTATAAATAAAGCTAAGGGATGAAGACAGGGATGAACTTTTATTCTGAGGAACATGGGGGTTTTATAGGAATGGCCAACAGAGGAATGCGAACGGCGCTGTGGGAGACCAGGCACTTATAGAGCTATCTACGGAGTCTAACTACCCGCGAAACTGTAGTCACTATACAACACTCCACAACGCCTTTCTATGATATATAATAACACCTTCTCCCTCCCTATAGCGTCCATCTATCAAAAACACGGCAGCGAGTTGTGGACCCTAGTGGTGATACGGTTGCTGCAAATGTAGTTATCGAGTAGAAAGCCCGCGAAGATGACCGCAAGCGTCGATGGATGAAGAAACTAGGGGCTCCGGGCCATGCCATAGTTCACGCACCAAGGCCAACCCCTGGCCCTTGCTTCACAGACGATTTAGAATTCAGAATTTGTTGACAACCTTATCTCCTATGTACCTTGGACCGATCTTGGATTAAGCTACAATCTAGAGTTGGAATATAATCCCCAACTTTCTTCATATAGTGGT